GGAGGAATGTAAGGAAAGTAGTGCTAGATCAGCCCAAGGGCTATTTTTAACAGTGTTGTGTTTCCAACATAGCAGTCAGGTGATGATGGGAAGCCCATCAGCAGAACACATTCACAACAACTTTCTCACTCACACTTACCTGATATTGAGACTTGCTATCTCTGATATTGAAGTAATAACCATAATGTTTGCTAGCTAATGATCAATAATCAGTCTTATATTCCATTAATATTCAGTCTCCTTTTAAAATTATCCAAGTTTTGGTCGTTGCTATAGGGCGGGAGAACAAGTTCCACAAATTGTGTACTACATGAAGACATACTTTTCCCTGTCTTGAATCTCCACTATTCATCTTATTTGATCTGTCTGTCTAGATTGGGGGGGGGCTTCCTCCCTCATTGTTCCATGTGCATTCCTCCTGAAGCTGCCTGTCAGTGAAAAATGACCATTGCAAAGAGAAGTGTATTGTTCTTTTACATTTAAGAGGGAGGAGGGACAAGATTCAATTATCTGTTGAAAAGAAAGTTGGAAGTCATTTATATACTTCTTAAATATAGTTTTGGATTTTTCCCTCTTTTCTTGCACTTTTTATTTCCTTTTTATTTCCTTTTCTTTTGCTTTGTCTTTTGTTTTATGAAAAACGTTCTTAATAATTAAAAGAAGTGTACAAATTTTTGGTTAAGGTTACATGATAGTTCTCTGATTTTATTAAGTTGACCCCACAATCCAGTATTTTGCAGGAAAATATTCTTTGTAGCTGCTTATTGAATGCCAGGTATAGTTTTATATAGCTAGCAAGTCTTTTCTTGTTTATATTTCAGCCCCAAATTTCATAAGCTTCCCTCATGGAACTGTTGCTCATTTGCCTTTTTATATGCTTTTTTCCTGCACCTTATCCAGCTCTTGTATTTATTTTAAAATGCAATGACCAGATCTTGATGCAGTATTCTAAATACGACCAGCAATAATTCAGTTAAGGGTATTACAAAAATGGTAGATCCTTTCTTAATAATTGCCTATATGGCTTTTGTATTTTTGTGGAATGTGGAATGAAACTTCAGTGATGCTACTATCAGTCTGTAAACTAACATTCAAGTATGCATGTTGGTATCTGTAAAGGTATGTGGGAATGATTTTGGGAGACAGATGAAGAGCCCCAGCTTAGATAATAGCCTGATAAATGAAATCTGAGTCCAAAGGAGGGATTTGGGTGGAAAAAGCATTTCAGAAGGGACCCATCCCTAGTTTTCAGGAAAGTAAAACTAAGAGAGGCAAGAGATACAGTATTTTCAGATTTGCAAATTTCTCTTACTGTAACCTTACAGTAAAGGTAGTGTTAATACTCATGGTTGGTGATTCTTGTCTAGACTACCGGTACCTCGAAGGGCTGACAATAATCTGAGTAGGGAAGATCATTACTGATGTGTACTACATTTACAAGATACAAAATTGAAGCAGATTAAAGACAAGGCTAGTTTGACAGGTTATGTGCTTGAATATAAGGCAGCTTTCTAAGCCACACCTGGTCCCTACCCCTTTATACACATGGAACTGACTTTTGACCAAGGCAGTCTGATGTCTGTCTATCTTGGAACTTGCAATGAACCTGTAAAACACATTGGCTTCTTCTATTCAACTTAGCAGGGATGTTTTCTGATACATGTAAAGAGCAATGACTCACAAAAACAGAGCTTGCTCTTTGGAAAATATTTAAGAATGTTATTGTTTGATGTTATTAAAATGGCTAATTTATATTATTTTATAAAAGTAAAAAGTTGAGGTTTGAAGTTGATACCCTATTGCATCAAAGGAAGTCGGAAGTCAATGCCTTTTTTTCTCCCCCCCCCCCTTATTTCACTTCTCTACTCCCTTTTCCCTTCCCAATCTTTTCTACTATTTACTTTTGTATTTCCATTGTATCGTATATTGTAAACTAATAAAACTTTGAGTAAAAAAAGGAAAATATTTCAGAATGTGTATTTAAAATATATTTTCTGCTTGATTGATCAGAGACAACCATTTAGCCATTTACATTTTACACACAATTAGTCTAATATATTCATTCAACCCTTAAATCTAAGCTTTATTCTGTACATAACATTAGAAAAATGATTTTGCTGAAACGAGAATAACCAGTTCAGTTAATTGTCTTCGTTTTGTTACCTTTTCAGAAATAAATCTCATTGCATTTATTAGGATTTACAGGTGCTTGGCATTAGTGCAGCCTCTTTTTTTTTTTTGTGGCACCTGTAGATTTCTCCAACTACATGTGTGAATTTTGGTGACATGTTTACTAAAAGTTAGTGATTTGTATAATTTGCAAATTAATTTGCAAATTTTAAAAACAAAAACAGTCCTGACAGTTATTCCCCAGTTATCCCCATCTACTTTATATCTTCATCCACCATTACCACTCCACCTGCTGTTGGCGACTAGTCTAGATCTATTCCACTCTTTTTGGCTGTCAGACATGCTTCCTTCCTTGTACAAAATAATTGCTATTACTTTCTAAGCTCAAGGAGATCTTCCCCAGAGGATGAAACCATCTTGAATGATCTTCCATTGAGAAGCATTGCTGATAACAATGTCTCAATGTGGGTATCTTTCCCTGAGCTACTGAACGTCACATTGGAGCTACTGTTAGAGTTTCTGAAGTTTGGATAACTTCAGCCTCCATGCTGTAAGGAAGGGGACTAGTGTAGCTCATGTATTTGTGGCCTGCATGACAGTTATTGGACTAGTACTAGTTGAAAGCAACTGCGGGACCAAATCTATTGAGAGGAAACATGCTGTGTGCTTTTAACACAGGACAAAAAGAAGAAATGAGCCATTTTCAGGTTGAATTGTATGCCAGAGGTCCCCAACGTTTGCAGCTTGGTGGCTTGGCTGGGGGGGGAGGGGAACTGGGCCCTATGAGTGGTGGGCCAGGACGTGTGCCTGCGCAGCTCCACTCATACAAGAGAGAAGCTTTGAGGCACCACTCACAAAGTGGGAATGCACGTGCGCCAGCCTGCCACTCATGCAGCCCGCTTGCAAATAGACCATGGCCCGGTAGTGGGCCATGGCCCACAGGTTGGGGACTCCTGTTGTACGCCATCCAAGTTTGCAAACATTTTGGAATAAGTGAAAATGGCATTAGTGAGAACTAAGCACCTTGTTATAAAAATACCAAAATATTCCATTCACTCAATAGCATTCTCCTTTAGGACCAAGCAAAATGTCTCAGGCCTACTGAAAGTGTTCTTAATTCTTCAGAATTCTTTATTAGCTAAGTGTGGTAACATTCACAGAATTAGAATAGTACTCAAAAGTCCAGTTGTTCCTACACATTAAGGATTTCCATTGTAGAGTAAGACTCAGTCATGAGGATAACAGAGCAAATAGGCTAGTCTTCCCCTCCCCAAAGTGAAACTGCATCAAGTTTCTCCTAGGATTCTAAAACAATGGGGGGGGGGGAGCCTGAATCCTTTGAATCCCCAAAAGCTTGCTGGCTGGGGAATTCTGAGACTTGAAGTCCAAACATCTTAAAGTTGCCACTGTGCTTATTCTATCAAATATGCAGAGCATCCTATCAAAAGTATTGCCCAAGTCATGTTTTAGAGATTTGCCCCGCCATATATCAGCTGTATCTGCCTTTGCTTTTTATCATGCCTGTGCGCCAGAAGTTGGAGCTTGTTATTTAGTGCCATCTTGAGGCGAAAGATATAATCATTGCTTTAAATTTGATGGACAATGCCTTTAAGAACTTTTCCACAAATATCCAGTAATGCTGTTATTTGAATGCTTTTCTTTATTTCTGCATATCTTTAGAGACTTTCAGAACCTTTAATTTTTTGTTGATAAAAGTCTAATCTAGCCTGCCTCATCTTGGTTGTCTATTGATACACTGGACAACCAAGTCTGTAATTCCAAGACAGGATGTCTGTTTTAGCTGGGCATAATAAAAGTTAAAAGTCCAACAGATCTAAAGGTTACTAGATTGAAAACAGTTGCTCTAATCTGTAGCTGTAAAAAGAACAAAACTGGGACAGGGAGCTGCGGATTGCAAATAAAACTGCATCTCTTCCCCATCCCAGTGTGTCTTTGAAGGCCCCCTCTGTCCAGAGAGGAAGAGGGCTCACCCGTCAACCACCAGTGTGGTCCAGCCAACCTTACCTCACCAGCATGGATCTGAGTCACTCTCTCATCCTTCCTTTGCTGCCTGCTGCCATTAAGAGATTTCAAATTTCAACCTCTGTTCCAAAGCAGCCAATCACCACTCCCCCGTTGGACTTTGCCACCAACTAATTGGGTGCAGTAGTAGAGTGGGAATGATTTCCACCTTCCTGCCAGTTTTCTCATTGATTTTGCTTGTGGGAAGTTGGCAGGGAGCATCAGAAATCACTTCTCCATAAGGCACTTCTCTGGCCATCATAAATTGTCGCACGCATGCCCTCTCTAAGATCCCATGACTGCATTTTTGGGCTCATGGCAACTAGTTCACATTTGCAGCTGGTTGCAGTGTTCCTCAGTCATGTGATAGTAATTTGTGATTTTTTTTGTCAGTTTTTGGCAAAAAGTACCCAATCAGAAGAATGAATTTGGACATGCCTGCATGGTTTACTTAACATCTTGAAAACAGTCATAAAATCATAAAGTGTGGGTTCCTTGATTTATGACAGTCATGAGTTATAACTAAAATTCCAGTCCCAGTTGCAGCCATAAGTTGAGGACTGCCTATAAATAAATTCTGGAATGCATGAAGCTCACACAGAATCCACTTTGCCCATTGGAATGTGAGCAGAGCCTAGATCACAATTCCTTTTGTTTGAGAACAAAATGCTTTAGGACCAGCAGTTGGGAAAATCTTTTGGGGAATCTTGCCAATCATTACTGGAGTTTTCAATAAACATTAGTTCCTTTTATTATTTATTTGGTGTATTGCCCATCTTAGCCTAGAGATGCCCATGAAAGATGTATATTAATAATGATGAAGATGTAATGATTGAACTATTACAACCTAAATCAAATGCAGTTTAATTCATAAACAGACCATTAAAGTTAAGGTGTTTCACTGTTTGATTGTTATATTAGTATTAGCTTATACTATAGAGCCTCCTATGGTATTTTTTCTTGATTTCCCCCAAAAGATTGGTTTATATATTATTTATTTAAACAATTTATATTTCTACTCAGCCCATAACATAACTCTGAGTAATAAAACGAAAAACAAAATTTAACCAAGTACAATCCAGAAACAATAACAGTAGTAATGTTGATGTATACGGTAGTGTAGTGTAAAACAGTCCATTTTAATCCATACAGATCAAATAATTCACCAAGAGAACTGATTTAACCTCTCAATACATGTACCTGAGGATTAGATATTTTGATCCAGCCAAAAGTAACAATGCACATTTTATATCCCATAATTTTGATTTATTTTAGATTTTGCAGCCCACTTTCTTCAAGTTCATTTACATTTGCAACAGTGTCTTTCTGAGGAAGGAAAGGAATGTTGTTGCAATTAATAGACCCATATCTTAGCTGCTTCATTTCTAGGTGGTACTTTTCATTTGATGTGGTTGTCTCCTTCATTTCTGACATCTCCTCACCATCTTCATCACTTTCATTTTTCTGAAACAGCCCAGATAATAAATTATGCATTGTAAAAACAAAATATATTCTAGAAAGTCTTGATGGAGGAAGGCAAAAATGACTTATAACCACAGGTTTCCCATTACTTTTCTTTTCAGATATATTTTTAATAGGATGCTTTTGTAGAATTTATATTATGTGTTTTATTAGACAATGCTGATTTAAAATGAAACTGTATATGCTTTTGATTCATGCATAGATAACTAAATCAATCCATAGTCTAATTAATATGGAAAGACTTGAACTTAGTGGAATAGGATGGACAATGCACTCAAAAAAGTATAAGCACCGAGATTGTTCCTTCAAAATGAAGCATACAGAATGCCTTAATAATACTGTATGAGCATTATAGAAAGAACACACCTTTTTTGGTATGTCTGCATTAGTGTTCTCCATCAAAGGTCTACTTTTCATAAGTCACCTTAATTATATGATTTTTTTTTCCCCTGACCATGGCTATTCTATGGGGGTTGATCTAATGGGTGTGTTGGGGGGGTGGAATGATCTTCTATTAGATTATTAGAATTAATATAGAAGCTCTTTAAAAAAAAAAAAATAGAACAATCAATGTCGGTTATCCCACTTGGTACAATAGGATGGATTTTCCCGCTATCTGCCATCTGTGGAAAAAGGGCCATTGTTATTGCCTGATTGTACAAATACTTCTGGGTTTTATTATTAACATAGCCAAAGTTTCTATGTTATGATATACAAGGATCCACGTTCACTGTTTTTTTTTAAAGCCAGGTTTTACTTTACTCTTCCTAAATTTCATAGTCTAAGCTAACTGCATTTGTGGCATATGGTTCTAGCTATCACATGATCAGATTTTAAGTAGCTCCAATAAAATACCAGCTTTATGGAGCAAACAGGTTTCTCAACATGATCAGTTAAGCAGTAATTTTGCTCTGAATTCTTTGAAAGTTATTAAAGGAAAAGTTGTTTCACAAGGTACAGTGTAGTTTACAAGGATCAACATTCTGGGCCATGAATCATGATTATGCAGTACTTTGCAAAATACCAGATTACTAATGATTACTTAAAGGAATAAATATTTGAATGCATTTTTTAAAGATAAGCCATTTTTTCTACTTGCTTCTTCCTTCCCGATCTTTTCAGGGCCATGGAATTTCCAAACAATTATAAAAAAACAATAAAAAAAATCAGGTGCACTAGGGAGCTTCCCAATCATAAGGAAAAATGTCTGCAAGCACACTGATGCCAATGGTCAGCATTTGGGAGGACCTGGGCATAAATACTGCATGAAGCACTTAAAATCTGCAGTGATTCTCTTATAATTCTAGAATTTAAACTCAGATTTGAATTCAGTGATTGTTGAGTAGTTTAAGGACAACAGGAAGCATATATTACACAGTTTTATTAATATCAGGCTTTTTTTCCCTTGAAAACTGGATGGGAAACTGTTAATCCAAGAATGAGAATATAATAGCTTTCACATTTATTAGATGGGAAATAGGATAACAAGAATTCTAGCAAATCTATTTTTAAAATGAAACTATATTATCATTTAGGGCAAAACCCCTCGTTTATTTTCTCTGCTTTTTCTAGTCAGACAGCTAGAATGATCCTTCCCTCCCACTCTGTTGAGAGAGGGCTGTCCAGTTTTAACATAGATGGCCTCTTTGACCCCTCTTTCAAATTAGTGATCCCCTCTGTCCAGAATATGGACAGTTTAAACCCAAGAATACATTAAGGCAGAAGCTTGTCCACTCCAAGAATAGAACATCCAGACACAAACTGAGCAATGTGATATATGCCGTGAGACCTATACAGATCTGTACATTGGGGAAACAAAACAGTCACTCCACAAATGCATGGCACAGCACAGGAGAACAAACCCATCAGGACAAGATTCAGCAGTCCATCTGCATCTGAAAGTCAAAGGTCACTCTTTTGAAGACAACAAAGTCTTCAAAAGGCAAACTGTTTTTGTAATTATTGGTGGGAACATAAAAGTCAGATCATGAAAAGTAACTGTCCACTTAAGACTTGGGCAGGCACAACTTAAGATTCTGTGTCCAGTTCTAGGTACTGCAGTGAAAATGGAATATTTTCAAATTTCAGTGAGTTCAGAGGAGAGCTATCAAGTTAGTGACAGGACTGGATACTATGAGGAATGAATATTTAATATGAAAAAGAGAAAATTGAACGGGAGTATGATAGTTATGTTCAGACAATTAACAGTGTTATCTACACTACAGGAGGAACTTAAACTTTTCCAGTGATCCAGAGTGCTTAACCCAAACCAATGGGCTAAAGTTGAAGGAACATCAACATTAGGAGGAATTTTTTGTGGGAAGTGCAACAGGTTCCCTCAGGAAATGGTATGTCTTCAAACTGAGGTGGATAGTTATCTATCCAAAATGTTTCAGCAACAGGTGGATAGGCAAGATGATCGGCTCTTTATGAACATGTAAAGCCTAGCAACCATCATTTTTAATGGAACACGAAGCCTACAAAGTTCCATAAGAAAACAAAATAAACTCATATCAGTTTGATATGATATTAGCCAGTTTGGTCTAGTGCTTAAGGCACCAGGTTAGAAACCAGGAAACTGTAAATTCTAGTCCTGCCTTAGACATAAAAAACTGGTTGGGTGATTTAGGGTCAGTCACGCTCTGTCAGCTCAACTCATCTCACAGGGTTGTTGTTGTGGCAAAATAGGAGGAAGAAGGGCTATTAGGTATATTCACATCTTGAGTTGTTTATACATAAAAAACCTTGGGATATAAATAAAATAAGTAAATGTCTAACTTTTCTATACCCCCCCCCAAAAGCCTTGGAAAACTGCATTTTATAATTGTGACAAGCATTAGATGGTATTTAGTAAGGAGGGAGCAAATTACCCCAAATTGGGTAGAAGTGATTTTTTCTTCAAATAATGACCTACAAACCCATTATTAAATTACAATAGGGACATTTAAATTTGACTTAAATTGTTTTATCTGGACTTCCTGATAAAGCATTTTGGGTAATGAAGGAAAAACCTTGGGAAGCGTTGTATTAAGGAGTTGGAATTTTCCCAATATAAGAAATGAGGTGGCTCATTTTCTTCTACTACTTGTTATTCCACTTCCCATAATTCTACTTTCTTTTTTTTGGGGGGGGGGGATACTACTAGGCTGAGAGAAATTCATCAGCTATACTTCTCATCAGCACTTGAATTTGGTTTTTCATTTTTTAAAGAAACGAGACACATTTGTTTTTAATATGTAATTCAGAGATAAGGCACTTTGGACCCATCCTGATGTTCCAATAATAGATGCAAAATTGTTGAGCTTATGGAATTTGGTGTAAAATATATGAGAGGGCAGTTGATTGTCTACAATGATGCAGTTTGTTTTTCATTTTTAAATAGTAGACTGGTATCATATATAAACAGATACAGTATATAGAATACCTTTAGGATTTTTTAAAACAAGGCTACTGACTCATAATTTGGGGAAATGCCCAACATAAAAATGTTAAAAGGTTACTGGCAACATTTGCACAAAGCAAAAGCAATTCAGCATATTTCTGCACATTTGTTATAGGGCCTAGTATCACTTTCATAAGACTTATTTTACTATGAAGCAAAATTCATATACACCATTCAGATTACATATGATATTAAAGTAGTAACAGACAGCATTTAACATTGAGGCAATGCTTGGAGTTTATTTTTATCTCAAGCATTAATATTATTTAGGTGGGTCAGCCTCTTAATAGAGCTAAAATTAATATTCATTACATCATCCCTTCTGTTTCATTCCAGGATTTTGGGAGCCCCAATACTTCATATTTTGGGTGTAATACAACTTAAAATTTAATCCCCAAATCTTGGTGGTCAACAAATTGCTTCATGCCCTCACATTGCATTTGTTATATTTACCTTATTTTGTGTCCTGTAGTATTCATCCACTGCATACTGATATTTAGAGTCATTGAGTCCAAGGAATGTGACAAATTTCCCACCAAGAAATTCACAAGCTGTTAAGGATATTGGGGAAAAAAGTAATTTGAACAAGTCATAGATTTTTGTGTGTGCAGATATGCAAATGTGTATGGGTATAATCAGAGCATCTAGTAGTAGACAGTGGCCAGTATTAATCCACAAATTCTTTCCTATCACATGCAGTTTAATTCTGGTTGTTGGAAGAAGAAAATAAATTCTATGGCTGGGGCACAAATCCATTATTAATTTCTTTATAAAGGTGTAAGAACATAGGTTTTCTCAGGAATTGCTGATGATGTACTAAAAATTCTTATCTTACCAGCCTACCACTTACACTTAAACCCACTCCCCCAACAATATACTTACCAAAAAATGCTGTGGCTACAATTTGATGTACCCAACTTCGTAGGTAATTACCCCAAGAGAGATTGGCCTGTGAATAAAGCCAGAGGTCTGTTGGTAACAATACAGAGACTCATCCATAGCTGCTACAAAGCAATCATACTGTGAGGATGCATTTCAGAGCAAGATCATAGGTTTCAATTGCAAAAAGAGAAAGAGGAGGTTATTGCTGTATCAAAACTACAATCAAGTGGTCACTTTTGCTGAAATTTCATTCTTACATTATATAAAGAAAAGCATCACTTTTCTGAAAAAAATCCTGAAAAAAAAGTAATAGGGCAATTCCTTCCCCTCCTCTCATCCTACCAACATTATTTCTCTAGCTTATCTTCCCTTTTTGTTCTTTTTCACGAATAAACAATAGCCTCCTTGTGCCCATGAAATAGAATGTCTATAAAATAGTAGAGCTTCTAATAAAAGGTAAGCGGGACCAAAACAAAACATTCAGGCTATGAATTAATATTTAATATTACATGAGTAAAATATATCACCTTTATCAGCAGCCAAGAAATCCAGCAGGAAGACATAAAGATTTTTGCAGACAATATACTTTGGTATACAGTTTTTTTTCCACACATTTGAAAACACATACATCATTTATCATCTAGTGAGGACTTAGAAACGATATGTGAAAGGTCCACAAGCTGATTCTAAAATATTTCTGAAGTTCATCTCATTTACTTCATTAAAAATTCTTAGCATTTGTGTTATTGGGGTTGGTCTGCTCCTTTCTTTTCTTTCTTTCCTTTCTAAAAAATACATAAAAAACTAACTTCTTCAAATGACAGTAACAAATACCAGATTACAGGAAAAGCTTATTTTCTAGGTGATTGCTGCTGAAATGATCAGCAATTGTGTTGCTGTTGATTTTCAGTGATAAAAAAGAGGAGGATCCATAGTTGTACTAATATCCCAGCAGCCATACAAATAGTTACTACTACTACTACTACTACTACTACTACTACTACTACTACTACTACTAATCACCATCATCATCATCAACAACAACTCACAGTGTCAAGTAATGGCTTCTGATTGCTTTCCACAACATCTTCTTCTGAACTGCATTCTTCCATTGTTTCACCATTTGCAAAATAAATGATCTTTCCAGGAGATTTATTTTCCTTTTCAGTATTATCTCCCAGTTCCTTTGTGTCATTCACTTCCTCCTGTTCATCAAAAGGAAAATCAACTCAGGCAAAACAATTTTAGGAAAAGATGAAAACTCTGATTTTTAATTTCATCTTCTAAAAATAGAATAAAAACATAATATTTGTAGCTCAGGGTTGAACTTGGGGTCCTTGTGGCTCTTTGATCTTGATTATTTTCCTGCAGATGTTTCATTACCAAACTAGGTAACATCATCAGTGATGTTATCCTATCTCCTAGTTAGGTAATGAAACGTCTTCCAAAAAGAAAAGAAAAAGAAAAGCAACCAAGCTCAGAGACCACCAAGGACCTCACAGAATAAAAACAGACGTGTTCAACTTTGAAAATTTCATTTGAAGGCTTCTAAAAGTAAACCAAAATCTCTGAAGCAAGTGAGGAAAGTCTGATCTAAATTTTGTAAATATTGGGTTGAGAACATTTGAGCCACAAGAAAAGGAAATACATCAACAAATTTGGTGAGAAATAAGAAAGAAATTGGCATGAACAAAATATACGCTTTATTATATCATAAATCCCAATTTCTTCATGCTGTTTTCCCTCATTCTTTTAGGGTGTGTTTATATGTGTTGTTCCTGGAGATACGTTTTATGTGTATTCATTTGTTCTTTCAGTCCTCTGACAAAGAGATACTCCTTTGAAATAAGTTAGAACCTTTGGTACAATAATATCATCAACCATTATGACCCTTAGAAGATGAAACTACCCATTTTAATGTGAGCCAAAAATCAGATTTACTATTTTGGCATTGATTTGTTATATTATGTACAATAATGCTTGAAAATAAGGAGGGGTAGCTATATGTACTTTTACTTTTCATTCCAGATGAGCTGGTAAATCAACACACAGACATAAAACTTCCATTGCTCTCTCATTTCTCACCCACCCACCCCCCAAAAATCAAGAGTAAATTTTGTTCTTTGCACAATGTTGAAAAAGCTTATGCCAAGGATTATTAAGATACTCATAAGCCAAATAGTGTCCTTATGATTAATATGTGCTTATTTGTTGCTACCCATCATGATATGACCCATACACAGTACACAGAAACAGTCCTAAGCATTCCAGTTAACTTTCCTTATGACTGAAGGCCAAAGGAAACAAGAGAAAATGAAGCATGCTTGATTCTTCATCTCTAAATCCATCCTTCAGCTATATTCAGCTTGTTTCAAAACAATGGTTAATTATTAGCAGTGAATTTTCAATTCCATTAAGAAGGAAGATTGCACATCAGCACACATTTTAATAATTTTATGCATTTTTGTTTGTATAATAACAGGTTTCCCCAAACTACAAATGTATTCTTCAGCATTATCTTTCAAGTCATTGTTGCAACAAAGATTGTAAAGTCTTTGAAAAACACAAAGAATTTCCTCCTCTATCGACTTTAAAGCAATCAAGATTCAAAAGAGCAGAACAAGAACTCACCTTTAGAGTTTTTTGGGTATTGTCCATCATGGAAATAATATCTGATTAAAATAATGCTGAGATAGAAGATGTGTAACACATCACTCGGTATCCATGCAGAAAATTTTTGGGAAAAAAGAACATTTCAAAGGAGGCCAGCTGAAAAAAAAGCAGTATAGTAGACCAGGCTATCCCTTTGTCAACAAGGGTTGGCCAAGTTTGAAATGTGGGCTGGACTTTCTCCTCTTCCGTAATTTAATTACCAAATCTAAATATTTATAGTGATAACTAGAAAGCCAAAGGAATGTAAAATGAGACTTTAGAGAATGACTACACATATGATTACAATCAATACATTCCCATTTTGGGGAGCTATCTTCAGCACCTTCTTTTCTGAGATCCATTTCCCCCCCCCCCCCAGCCCCACTGCCACAGCCTTTTTAAGTCAAATGCTTTTGTGGTTTAGAAGTTCCGGGAGTACAATTCTTTTCCAACAGATCTAATCAGCCACAAACAAATACCGCACCTATGTTGAAAAGCAACATTACCTGGAACTGTAGACGCTATGCCATCTAGGGGCTGCTTTATAGCATTGCCATGTCTTTTAAGACATCGTGACCTAACTCGCTGCATGCTAACTTCTTAAGGTGAGTGAGGGAACAACATAAGAAAACAAAGATGCTGGGGAGGCATTTAAAAAAAAAAAAAACAATATGGCACCCCCATCTTTTTTTATATACACATTAAAAAGTAGCAGGGCTTCAATCATGGTTGGGATTGCCACATTGATTTTTTGGACCCTTCTCTGCAAATACCCTAGGAAAAAAACGTGTTACTGTTTGGTGTGTGCAAATTGAGAATAAGACACATGCATCTTCATATATATTTCCTTTTTTATATTTTCAATAGAGGGCAGTGATTGAAAAGGTACCCCACTGCAAAGGTAAGAATTTTGGATCCAGCTGCAAACAAAGATGGACTTGTTGAAGTTTTTCTACCAATCTCTTTGCATTTATTTCCAGACATGTGTCATGAAATAAAAAAACCTTAAGTTCTAAACCATTCTTTAACTGTCTATACTCTGTCTCTCTCTAACATCATTTGTTTCTTCTTTTCTTCACATTATGACTTTGATCCATGAAAGCTTATGCTGTAATAACAATAATAATAGCAGCTTGTGCCCCAAAACATAGGGTTTTAATAAACAAATCTCACAGTGCAACAGTGCCCTGTGGAGAAACTAAAACAAAGTATACATTTATTTTGTTTGATTTTTCAATAGCCCTCCAATTAATTCTTTCTCCCTTCTACAGCCCTTCAATAGTAATAATGACTATGAATTGCTTACCCACTGCAAATACATGAAGATTGAAAATGAAAAAATAATGATTTAGCATTGCAAATCAAGTCCAATGAGAAGAGTTTATGTGAAAAGAATACATCAGTTCTGCAGCATCAGAAATTACAAAACAGAGGTCCCAAAGGTTTCAAGAGGCAACTGGACTTTCTTGTTTTTCTTTTCGCTTCTCATTCAAAAAGCTTCTTCAGCTCTAAGTGAATGGATTACCAGAAAAATTGCAGACTACAGGAACCATTTGCGCTTCAGTTTGAGATGCAGACAACACAGACTCACCCACAACAGCCTGCGCCTCTGTTCAACTGTGAAGGGACACAGGGCAGAAAACATCCTGCAGAAAGTACAGCTCCACAACAACAGTCCTTTCAGCAGTTCCAAGAAGGCTTCACACCTATCTGCACTACTCAGGTTACTCTGAGGACACAGACAAACCCCCAAGTGGCCTCAACGACTCTCTAAAAGGATGCAAAGGACCAGCTGTCTACAAAGAATGTAAATCCTTACGTTCCCCACTATCTAGTCAGAGCTGAAGTAACTTTTTGGATGACAAGCGAAACATCTTCAAAGAAAAACAGGAAATTCCAGTTGCCTCTTGAAAAAGGATCTTTGGGACAACCATGACCTGGATGACTGAGAATCTCCCATAGACACTTACAGAATAGAGGCCTATGGAAATAATACCAAGGGATGGGATGGAGCTGCTCATTCTTCTGCAATGGAATTCTGGCAATGATGATGATGATAATATTACTTTATTAAATTTATATCCCTCCCAACTCTCAGCAACTCTGCGTGGTCAAGAGATGAAAGCAGCTTTTATAGATATTTCCACTTGACTAAACTCTTGCTTTACTTCTAAAAAGTCTCACAAAATGTACATTCTGTTTATAAGTGCTTCAACACTGAGTTGTGATAGTATTTTGTACCTGATTTTTACAGGTATACGTCACATTAACATGACAAAGACATGCAAGAGAAAAAAAATTAGGAGTTGAAAAGTTGTACCTTATATTACCTCCTTCTAGACCAGCTCCTTTGAATCCAATAAGGTTTTGAACTATACCAAGAATTGTATTCATTTCAATAACAGTGACTAGAGAGCCAGTTTGGTATAGTGGTTAAGGCATCAGTTAGAACAGGGGTCCTGAACCCCTGGTCCGTGGACCAGTACTGGGCCGCAACATGCCAGCAACTGGTCTGCATGGACAAGCAAAGCCCCATCCACAGGATGCAGGCAGCACACAAAACCACGCACCCTGGGTTATAAAGCAGGAATATGTGAATTGTAAACCCATTTTAGGAGCCCTGGTGGCAGAGGTTAGAATGCAGTATTGCAGGCTAACTCTGCTCACAGCCAGAAGTTTGATCCTGATTGGCTCAAGGTTGACTCAGCCTTCCATCCTTCTGAGATCTCTAAAATGAGGACCCAGATTGTTGGGGGTAATATGCTGACATTGTAAACTGCTCAGAGAGTGCTGTAAAGCACTATGGAGAGGTATATAAATTTAAGTGCTAATGTTGTTATGCACAAATCAATTGGGTGATGGAAAAAAATCAACAAGCCATTTTATTATGTATGCAGTGTGATCAGGCTTACAGTTTCTATAAAACTGTTTTAAGCCTGTGTTAAACTTTGTTCATATATTTCTTAACCAGAAAGGTGTAAAACAAAGCAACTCAACACATAAAACAGTATGTCCAATTTCCATCTTGTATAGATAGAAAACCCAGCTCTAATTCATTTAAAAAGTATGCAAACATAAAAAGAAACAATTTGAAAATATTAAACAAGAAACATATTGATAGTAAATAATTTGATCATTTAGTACATTTGATGAAAGTAAACCTATATATACACATACATATATCTTAAGAGTGTACAATGTTATGTCTCATTCAAAATCATATTTTCTATAATATATAGGAGTCGAAATAATGGTAAATATTTTATTTTGAAAAATCAAACAAGGAGTACTTTAATTTATATTTATTGATATAATTAAAGCCTAAAGGCCAGGATCAGGACAAAATGCAACAACAATCAAATAGCATGTGAAGATGCATTTGTCTGCATACTGCAATGGCCAAGCATTAAAATTAATTTATTCATATTCTAAACATAATATAACTGGGGAGTTTTCAGAAAAAGACAGAATTGTGTGTGGGAAGATATGTCTGGATTTGTGTGCCCATGTGTGTATGCATGCACACGCAACGAAAATAATTTAAAATAGTTGAATTGTCACAAATATTACATTCTAATTGTAGATGTGTTAGGAAGCCTTTTAAAAATAAACATACTTCAACTTCCAATTTTTTGTAAGCTTCCCTGTTTCCATCCTAATTATTGATTAGGTCCACGCTTTTTAAAATTTAGCAATTCTGACAGTATCTGTTATTTACCATATTGTTAACCAATAATTTCCTGGGAAACCTTAACAGTGATGCAACAAAATGTTTTTACCACAGCAAGATGACTTTCTGAATCCTTCCCTCAAAAAATAAATACATTAAAAAAAATCTGATGTCTGCAGATTAGATCATTTATATTTTGTAATACTTTTTTAATTGTTGCAAACCTTTTTTTAAAGGTATTTATAGTGAAACTGATAATATTGTAACCTTTTATCCAACTGTTAAAGAAACAAAACATGGCTGCGCAAATATGTGGAACTGAATAAATAAAAACTCTCAAAAAGTACAATAACTGTAAATGAAATGCATCATACAATGTATTACTAATTAGGTTTATCAAGACTACAATTCCGTACTATACATTGTGTAGCTCAGATCCATTTTATCACTATTGAGAAGTGCTTGGATATCCTCAAGATCTTTACATATCTAGTAAAATATATACAGAACATATTTATGTTCATAATTCAAATATTTTCTTGTGACTGATTTATCTTGTTTATTTCAAGTAAGCAGGAAAATATTGACTTGATTTTTGGTGACAGTCAAAACATAGGATTGCAATAGGACAAACACATCAATTTAATGAATAAACACAAATGGGGCAAAATAAATGCCTAAACATTTTGGTATTAGAAGGATTCCCATAGGTGCTAGGTGATATCCCTAAACTACATTAAATATGTCCACTGTCTTCAAATATAGGTCCAAAAAAAAAAAAACAAGTCAGAGAAGTTTATAGAAGTTACCATAAACGTAAACAAATCCAATATATAAATTACCAGATTTGATGTCAATTATACCAAGTACACATTAACTGGAATTCTCCACTTTGAAATTAAAAATTTATGAAATCAAATTCCATGTGAAAAGTCCTTAAACATGTTAGCTATAACTTACCTATTATTGATTTTTTTAAATGTCAGAGACTGAAAAACAGCAATGTTTTCTGCTGGCAGCAAATACACAACTGTTGCCAACAATCTGCATATTGCAAGTTAGTATATATAGAAGGAAGATATATAGTAATGTAACTGCACAAAAATATTCAAAACAGCCTTGTTTGTAGTTCTGTATACTATGAAACAATATTACTGAAGTCTTACAGGACAAATCTCTCACACGTGAACAGAGGTGGAAACCAAGTGACATAAGCAGAGATAAAATTTCAGTTTTTATTCCCAAATGAGACTTGTTCTTGGTATCATCTTTTTGAATCTTCTGGTAACTAACTTTTCAATTACATCAATAAAACTCACCCTTGTGCACCAATTTCTCTATTTTTAGCATGCTTTAATACTTTTTACTCAGGGCTTTTTTCACATATTCAGTTATTACCTTGTGTCATAGATCTAAATGTTTAATCAATAGAATTTATTATGGAAAGCCTCCTTTATTTAGGAAAATATGCTTACTGGTTTGACAGAGCAGTACTTAAAAGTAACTCCCCAGAGAGTGACCACATAAAATCAACTATTAGACCTGAAATCACTTTTGCTATGATTTCCTTTGTAAAATTTGAAGTGCAAAAATGGCAGCAATCTATATTCCTTCCTACAGGGACTTAATTTATACTGTCTAGAAATTTCCTGTGCTCAAATGTATTTTTCTCTTGCTTGTAATGTGGTTTATTCTAAATAATTCGAGGCATGAATAATTTGTCTTTAAAACAAAGTAATACATTATTGTCTTGTTTGCTTCATTGTTGTGCAAACCTTAAAAAAACCCACGCAGAGCCTCAACCTCATCCCTTGCATTCACCTTTATTTGTTCCAGAATCTAATGCCTACTCATCTAAATGTTAATTTCCACTATGGTCCCAAACTTTTTTCAATCTAGCTTTAATCTCTTCAATTTCTTTTTCTGAAAGAAAGCCATTCAACCCAGCCAATGAAAAGATGTGTGTACGTATGTATGCATGTGTGTATGCGCATACGTGTGTGTGTGCGCGCACGCACATACACACATACAAAGTTGAAAAGGAATGTATTTGTTACAGTAAAGGCAGCCAGAAGAACTAGCACACAGGATAGGCAACAATAACCCTAAAGTTTACAGAACAGAAGTCACAAGGAGTAGTTCTTTGCAACTGAGGATCTTATGAGATCTGGCATCCGGTGTCTTTTTGAGGCTTTATATCTGGTTCTTTTAGAGGTTTCACTTCTTCCTCTGGCTTTGGTTTAGCCTATTAATAAAAGTAAAGTAGAAAAAATGATGATAAAGACTTTTTAAAAATTTGGCAACATATTGCCCTTGAGAAAAGGTAAAACCCCCACCCTTCACAAGATGTTCTCATTTTCCTCTCTATCCCCAGCATTTCTCTTCTCCTGAGTAAGAACCAATATAAAAACCGAACATTACAGAGAACACTGGTGAAAAAAGTAACCTGTATGTGTTCTTACACTGTCCTCCTTTGGCCTTTTGGTGAGATCAAATGCAGCAAGGGATTCTGGGGACCACTGAGCATGCACAGCTGGAAATTCAAAAGCAATTGGCTCAACTAGACCATAGTTTGCTTTCAGCTCAAGTTGGGGAACCTCTGGAGGAATCTTCTGGAAGTAACTAAAAGAAAACCAAATTGGATGTTAGCAGTCCTAGTTCTTTTCAATGTAATTCCATATAGTTTAGCACCTACTAATGCTACATGTAGCTTACATAACTTAACTCCATGGAATTCACAATCTGCACTCCATTTTCACAAATATGACAGGTGCTAAACACACTGAAGATTATTTTTATAACCACATGTACAAACATGTCAAAACAGAATCCAAGACAAAGAAGAGTTTTAGCAGTCCAACTGGCTGAATCGAAAATTGATTCCCCAAATTACTTCATTGTGGCCAGTCAGTGTTAGAAAATCTAATTCCCTTTCCATTGTACATTATGGTTTCAATAATGTTAACTGTAGATTAAAAAGTATTCTGCTCATGATAGAACTGTCTCATATTTTTAGAAGTGATTAATAATGCAAGTCTTTCTCTCTCTCACTCACTCACTCACTCACTTACACAGAGACACACACACTTCAGTGAAGAAGTCGCATGTTATTTTTTTTTTTTAAAGGGAGAAAAGCTGGGAAGAATTGGCATGCAAGAAGGAAAAAGGATGTATGGGCATCATAATACAACTGTACATCAGATATATCAGATATTATCGTATCATTGCATTTGCATTCTGACATTATGATGCATATTGTCATCACTTTGTAATGGTGGTTTGTTGCAGTTGTCAATGAAGCTAGTGCCTGGTTTGAGAAAAACTACGTTCTGCAAGCTTCCCAAGACCAATTTGTTGAGGCGGTACCCTGAAGCCAATAGCAAACCTCAACAAAATTCTGCATCTGGGCCAGGAAGGTGCCACTTTCCAGTGGCATCTGCAAATGTTTACTGTGAGTCTGCACCATTACAAGGCAATAGACTTGAAGCAAATCTCTCACTCATCAGTTTGCAATCAGCAATACCACCTTTGGCTAAATCCTTAATTCTAATGAAAGAAAAGAACAGCATTCCCTTAAGACATATTCTCAGAGTGAGGGGAACATTGTCTTTGAGTCATGCTTGGTTCCTGCTGACATCCCACACAACTCCATGCAGTTTTCCTGTGGCATTTTCAGAAGTGGTCTGCCATTTGCCTCCTTCCTAAGGCTGAGAAAGAGTGACTAGTTCAGGGCTGCCCAACTGGCTTTCACGACTAGACCTCAGGTTTCCTCCTACAGTCCCTCTAAAATAATTTGTTGAGACAGTCCAATAATGGGGTACTTAAATAAAGAACGTAATTCCCTAAAAGCAATAAGCAGGCAGGTATCTGTACAGCTTTATGCAGACAATGTGGTAATTCTATCATAAAACCCAGTTGGTTTGAGAAAACTCTTGAAGGTGCTATCCCACTTTTGCAAGGAGATTGCCTTCAGGACCACTTGGAAGCTGCAGGTAATCCAGAACTCAGTGGCAGGGGCAGTTATGGGCATCTCGTTGGATGCCCCCATAATATAGTTGTTTCATGAGCTGCAGTGGGTACCAGTAGGCTTCTAGGTACAATCTAAGTGCTCGTTATTACCTATAAAGTCCTTCATGGCACAGAATCTGATTATATGAGACACTATTTGTTTTCTATAGTTTCTGCCCATACTATTCAATCAGACAGAATTGTTATTCTCCAGTCCCACTTATTAGCAATGACAATTCTCTCTCAGCACCTATCCTCTAGAACAGGGCTCCCCAAAACCCAGGTCACAGCCCACTATCGGGCCATGGCCTATTTGGAAACGGGCCGTGCAAGCAGCAGGCGAGTGCGTGTGCTCCACTTGCATAAGTGGTTGGCGCTTGCGCTCAGACAAATGGGGCTATGTGCGCATGCCTATCATTTGCATGGAACTATCCTCCTGCCCCCCCCGTACCAGGCCAAGCTGGAAAGGTTGGGGACCGCTGCTCTAGAATGACCTCCACTCTGATCTTATTTAAGAGAGCCCTTAAAACCTGGTTCTTTCCCCAGGATTTGGGCTAGACGCAGTGTTTCTCAACCTTGACAATTTTAAGGCATGTGGACTTCAACTCCCAGAATTCCACAGCCAGCATTGCTGGCTGTGGAATTCTGGGAGTTGAAGTCCACATGCCTTAAAATTGTCAAGGTTGAGAAACACTGGGCTAGAGTGAATGTTATTTCCCAAAATAATTGGTCTCCTAGAGTTTGTGAGGTTTTTTTTCCTGAATGTCTATTTTTATATTGTATGATATTGTTTCCCATCCACAAGCACGGTAAAGTTAAGTGGTCTATCAATTTATTAAATGCACTTTACAAAAACCACAGACTAAAATGTATTTGTTTGAAAAAATATACTTACATGAATCCATTTTCTCGCTGAGATTTTTCTAAGGCATTTTTCACTACAGTTCCTAATTTTATAAAGAAGAGATGTCCAGATGGTTTCGCTGTAGTCCCTGGCCCTTTGGTTTCACCATATTCTTTGCATAGCTTTTCTGCCTTGGCATAAACTTTCCAAGAAAGCAAAGAGTCAGTCCCCGTTCTTACTGCTTTTTTATACAAGTTTTAATAAAGTGCATTACAAGCAATCCTCGACTTACGACCACAACTGAGCTCAACATTTCCGTTGCTAAGTGAAACATTTTAAAGTGAATTTTGCCCCATTTTACAACCGTTCTTGCCACAGTTGTTAAGTGAATCAATGCAGTTGTTAAGTTAGTAACGCGGCTGTTCAGTGAACCTGCCTTCCCCGTTGACTTTGCTTGTCAAAAGGTCGCAAAAGTTGATCACATGACCTCAGGACACAGCAACCATCATAAATAGGAATCAGTTGCCAAGTGTCTGAATTTTGATCACTTGACCATGGGAATGCTGCAACTGTTGTTAAGTGTGAAAAACAATCATAAGTTACTTTTTGTAACTCTGAATGGTCACTAAATGAATTGTTGTAAGTCTCGGAACCATGATATATAGCTCTAATATGATTTTTTTTTAAAAAAAAAAACAGGATATGATCTTCTCCCTGCAGATTAGACTGTCATAAGCAATTCTACCACAGTAATCCTTACACCTCTCAAGAATTAAAGTTAGGCTTTGATTATTCAAATGTATGATTTCTTGAGTATTTACTAGTTTTAATGTTGAGAAATGCAGTTTATTCTATAAACTATGAAAAAGCACTCACATTTTTCTGCTTCTTGTAGAGACCTAATAGATTCTCCACATTTATCGCTGGCCAAGAGAGTCTGACCATGGTAGCAATAGGCCTGGGGGAAGCAAGACTTTCTTTAATATTCTTGGCATGCTCTGGGAATTACGTTAATTTCTTACTTACCTTAGCAGTGAGGGCAGAAGAGTGAACTTCAAGATTTGGAAGGCATAGAGCTAAGAGAGAGCAATTAGCTGTTTCTAGAGTTCTTACTACTATGGTACTTGGCGTAATAAAGGCAGGCTGTTCCAGCTAAACATGTTCACCAACACACTTACAGTAGCAGAAGGATTTTGATATATGGCAGTTAAGAACAATCCATTAAAAAAGACAAGTACTTGCTCTATGTTCTCAGACATTCCAGTACAGTGCAAAATAAAAAATATGCATAATAATGGGTAATTATACTCTGCCATGTTTTATTTGAGACAATATACTGCTCCCTCTGCTGAACAGACATGAGGCAAAGAAATGTGCATTACTTCAAATGGTTTAAATTTACCATTTACTGTTGAATTTACCATTAATTGGGATTTTTCAAACAGAATATATATGAGAAAGTGTACTTTACAGATAACACAGAATATTCTTTCAAAGAAAGCAACAAACATTGATTTACCAAACAGCTGGCTTGGTTCACTATTTGGAAAAAAGTCTGCTTGCCTGAAATTTAGATAAAATTCAGATATGCAGATTTGCAGATCAATCAAATCCAAAGTCCACTATCCTGAAGTCCATTAAATCAAAAGTCTACTACATATCATTTCACTCTTAATCCCAAGATCAGGAAAAGTTTGTATGTATAATAAATTAAGAAGGGAAGACGTAATACATGGATGACATGTCTTCCACTATTTGTCCAATAAGATCCAACAGATGTGAAAGCTCCAGGCTCTATCTTTAAAACGTATCATTTGATGGGTTCCAGGATGCATGCTTTCGCTGCCTTAGGACTTGACTTCTGGAAAAACAGCAGCTTCCTGAAGATAACACTAGCTTGGATCCTGCTGTCTTTTAAAGTAGTTTTGAAGGCCTGGCTTTTCCCCACAAGCTCTGGTTTAGGGGACGGAATGCCTTCTGAACGCAACTGTATTAAAATGCTAAGAATACTGCTATCACCATTGTTTTATTGTTTTGGATTTTATGGTTTCAGAATCATTCTGAGTTGAGCTGCCTTTGATTTATAAATACATGAACTCCAAAAGACTTACAAAATATTGCTTGAATAATATAGATTGTTATTTTATATAACAATTTTATAGCCCTTTGAAAATGGTTTTAAATTTGTTTTTAAAACTCTGAATACTCACGTAAGCCATATAGAAGCATGACTTCAACTGAAGGTATTTTCTCCACTTCATTGTATATGCTGGATCCAGACTAGATAACATTTGATCTAGGGAAAGATAATATTTTTAAAACAGTAATCTATTCATTAATTTATCTATTTGCAATATCTGCTAAGAGATTCATTCAATATTAAAGCCCTGATTAAAACCAAAATATTGTCTGTAGAGATACATTTGTCCATGAATCAGAGATATATTCCAAGCCTTAAAAGTGAAAGATTTATGCTGATTTCTTGCCTTCAGTCACCATAAAAAGAAAAGTAAACAATAATCAAACAAGTTTACCTGGATACAGATTTCATTTTTTATCCATTGTACTTCCTTGGTGCTCTGTCCACAGATAAGATTCTGTGCCTTAAAATTGCATCAAATATTCACCAACTTTTAATTAAATACCTGCTTTTTGATAGAAATTGGCTGTTTCATAGGCCAAGGCTGCTATTAGACCAGGATTGTGTTTCAGCTCAATAGCTCTGGCAATTGTCACTAAGACAGAAATGAGAAACTACTGTAAACATCACCTTGCATCCCATTTATTTCTCTAATTTATGCATCTCTAAACATGTAAAACCTGCTCAGAATGCAATATATATTTCTTTCTCTTTTTTCTTACTTATAATATTTTGAGAACTGAGTTGGGATATTAGCCTATGTGAGAACTGAGTCTCCATCCTTGAATTTATATTCAATGAGATTGTTGTGTAGGCACATTTTTTGGTGTGTGTGAAATTATAACTGATTCCATTTTCATGTTCATTGTACATACGTATGAATAAGAAATCCCTATGGTAGACTGATAGTAGGAGGGGAATGGAAAGGCAGGGAATTTACAATCTTGATGGCAGACCTGGCTCTGTTGCAGGTTGCCACTATGCCAGCATGCAAGGTAGGACTTCAATTTGTTCTGGTACAATGATAAGGGATGGATATTTGGAAGAGGGGGATGATTATAGTAACCTCGTGACAGAAATTCCCATCTGGTGAAGTTCGGTCTTAAAGCATATTTTTTGGACAGGTGATGGTTTTATTGGGACAACAGATGTTCTTAAATGCTCACAGGGAATGTCTAGGCACTAAAATCAATGATGATGCTGTGTGACTTCACTGACTGATGGAGTAGGGAAATGGAAGAGGCCACTGAAACTCTTGCCCCTATCCAGTGCTATGGATTCCAGATTTCTTTTTAATACTTTGGTGAACACTGAGTAATTAAAAAATGGAAAGACGTCTAAATCATAAGTAGTACAGGTAGCCCTAAACTTATAATAGTTCATGTAGTGACCGTTCAAAGTTATGAACTGAAAAAAGTGACTTATGACCATTTTTCACGCTTATGACCATTGCAGTACCCCATAATCATGTGATGAAAATTTTAGATGCTTGGCAACTGGCTCATACCTATGGCCATTGCTGTGTTCCAAAGTCATGTGATCAACTTTTGCAACCTTTTCACAAGCAAATCAATGGGGAAGCCAGAGTCACTTAACAACTGCAGTGATTCACTTAACAATTGCGGCAAGAAAGGTCGTAAAATGGGGCAAAACTCACTTAACTGTCTCACTTAACAACAGAAATCTTGTGCTCAATTATGGCCATAAATTGAGGACTACCTGTATATGCCATTTTCTATGACACTATCCCATCCATCCCATCCTAAATAAATAACTTTTTCTGTTTACTGTGTGGGACTATGTGCTTGTACTTATTTGGGAAACTGCAACAGGTGTATAAGGTGAGGTACACAGTAAAGCACCTATACACAGGTTAATCTCGGTCAAAGCAAATGCATGGTTATCAATTAGTTATTGAGCCGAAGTTCTGCTTCTGGCACTTAAAAATTAGAGCATAATTCCTAATGCACCACATCACTGCCAGAGACCTTTTTAGATTTTTAAGATCATTAGAGATACTTTTGCCACTTGTGCCGGACAAGTATTATGTTATTATTATAGGCGGGCAGGCTTGCACTTTAGGATTTTTTCCCCCTAAAATTCATGAGGTGCTTGTTATTAGGCAATTTATTACATCCTGCTTTTCATTAATAATTCTGTGGATGCTGCTTTTGAAAGGAATAAGGGACAATGTAATACATTATGTCGGACTATGTTCTACCATTCAGCTCTCCAGCAGAGCAAATTGTTTTAAAATCCTTAGAGAGGAAGCCCCCAACATTTCTCAGATGCAAAATTAGTAATATTGCATAAATACCTTCTTGTGCTTCAGCTTGACATTGGATAATATAGGAATCTATTAGTCGAGCTTCAAAATCCCTTCCTTTTTCTACAGGAGTGATCAATTTAGGAATATAGCTTTCCTAAAGAAAAAAAAAATGCACTTTAGGATTGGAAACAGTGGCTGCATTTAATTAACTAATGAAGCATCTAAAGATTTATGAGAACTTAGTAACTATCAAGCATACCCATATGAAAACTGCAACCATTCTACCAGACATCTATTAATTTAAGAATGGCATCTAATATTTTAAAATCTCCTTCATTGGAACACTTTAAGGAACAATTTTTTTAAACTTTCTATTTACGCAAGGAATAATGGGAAATATGTGCATCTCCCATGTAAATTTTGCAGTGGAACAATCCTAAGAAGGTAGTCTGTGGGTTCTGCCTGAACATCTGGAACTATTTCTAACCCTATAAATTAAATAAGTCTTTTAAAATAATATGTGGATCCTAATGAGCTACTATAATAAGAGAAGTAATGAATTGTGCATGCTTCAGAAATGTTTTGGAAGAAGTATTTCAGAATCCACATATGCACTATACATTTCTATCCATTATTCATTAATGCTGCCTTTCTTTTTTCATTCATGCTTCTGTGCCAGCTTTAAAATGCCATTTTAATCTTGCATTGAAGTCAAAGAAAATGCAACTTTTCTGGAAAAATATGTATTTTACCTTTAAATGTTTGAAAATCCCAGCTGCTATTTTCATACTGCGGTGGACATCTTTTGCTTCATCTTCTGTTATGCTAAACATTAGCAATTCATTAGTATTGAAATGCTTCAGGAATTTTACATATCATCCATCAAACTTCTTAATATTACTGCTAGCCAAGTTCTTTTGCTTAATAATATTGCTTAGCCAAGTATTGTTTCCTTTATTTTATGTTTGCTCAGCAAATAATATACAATATTTCTAAGGAATCAAAAAAATTAAGTAGTGCAGGGAACAAATATCAGCCTCTTTGGTCCATCTAACCCACTACTCTGTACTATAAGATGCAGAACTATGATGCACACTGCTGAATAAAAATCTGATTATCACAATACTCTTGTACTTTAATTGGAGTAACTTTTAGCAAATATCACTCTGGCTAATGTTTTACTGGATAAGATATTCAGTATTTAATCAAATTAATTAAATCACTGCATAAGGTATTCATTACTAATTCAAATGGTTTATTTGGCATCTAAAAACTAAGACAGTGATACTAGCCAAGTTCCTGCAACTAGTCTGGGCTTTAAAGATCCTATAGCTAATCAGAATTCACTCAAATCAAGGCTTCTGAAAGGTATTTTACAAAAAAATAAAAATAAAATAGCCAACTAAGAGAGAAGCATACACTCATCATATACACTATTAATGGAACCATATCATGTTCCGTCATTAATTGTGATATCAGGTGCTACTGTTACTATATTAGTTTTTTTCTTTTGATTTCATATTTTGGATGAATTTTGTAGACTGAACTTCTCAAATACATAATCAGTTTTCTACATAAATCAACTGTTGATCCTTAGGACAAGAAAATCACCTTTCTGGACATATATAGAAAAGAAGATGTCATTCATGTAGGACATTACATAAGGAGAATATTCCCAAATAATTAGACAGAATTTTTTTTTCTCTCTTTAACAGTCCGATATTGCAATTCAACTTGGTTTACATTTCTAAACATATGGCTGGGACCCATACAGTTTCACAATAAGAAAGTTGAAGACTATAGATTGAAATGGTTTTATTCTAAACAGCAATTTAGGCTCCGATCCTATGAACAGTTTAGCAAAACCAAACCCACCAATTTCAAATGGGCTTAAGGTATGTTTTTAACTTTCTGACATTAGTCTAATTAAAGTGAAAATACTTACTCTTCTTTCCCAGCTAATCTTGATGCATATTTAGTGTACCACAAGGCCACATTAAATCCCATAGAAATTAATTCAAACACAGCATCTTGCTGGGCACTAAGGGAAGAAAGGGGGGGAAATTGTCTTTTGCACAGTTTATAACACTTCTCTGAAGTATAAAACATTGCAACACTTCCATTTATCTTTTAGACATAAGGCACAATGCTACAAAATATATTTTCAGGAATGTCACATCGAGTTTAAAGAGACTTGCTTAATTCTTTTTCATTCCTTCCTACCCCAAATCATGGGAACAAACTTCCAAAGTATTGAAATGTTCACACAGAACTTTAATAGCTTGAAAAGTGGAATTGTTCTGACTGAAACAATTCATGTTTTGTTTTAGTCTGGTCAGGAATGTTCAGAGTATGGTGTTTTTACAATTCTTCCCTTCAGAATGAAAATACCGAAGTAGCAGTCAATCAAGTTACCATCATTCTTTTAAAATATTTATTTGAGCACTACTATTAAATTACAGACAACAGGATTTTTTTTATAGAAGTGGAAACTTTGCTTGACCCAATATAATAACACTGAAAAAATAAATTTCATCTTGACTAAGATTAATTTATCTAAGCATATACTGTCACACAAGGGCTTGTTTTTAATTATACAAATCCCAAGGAGATATAATGTTAAGAACTAACCACATAAAAGATTACAAAACATATACTCACTTCTAAGTGTCATTATCTTGCCAGTAATATGGGCAATATTTTTATTAATCTGTTGTATTTGTGTGTACAGTATAGTCCATTAGACAATGAAAAAAGATGAAGTCATAACACAAATCACACATGGAGATATTGCAAACCAAGATTTCAAATGATCCCTCTGATGAAATATGTTCTTTCATAAAATGGCTCTTTCAAGGTATGAATGTAAGAGCATTTTTTTAAAAAATCCATAACATCATTATGGTAATCCGTTAAGTTATTTACTCTTTGTACTAAAAACTACCTTAAGATTTGAAAATCATACTATATGTATACCTTGGTATTTGTCCTTGCAACGTGTCGGTCCATTTAAAATTCTGAATGTATCTCAGTTTACTATCCTGTGAAGAGTTATCCAGTGCATCTATAAAACCTGTTAAAATAATGCCAGTATTAAAATAGCACATCCCCTACAAATCAAAATGCACTTTAAATAATCATTTACTTTCATTTTTTTCCTATATTTTTATTGATAATGTGACTGTTAATATAATTTTTTAAATATTTAAAATGCCTGGTATTTAAAATTAGCCTCAGAGTTCCTTTTCACTTGGCAGATTGGGGATCAGTTTTATACTATACTTGGAGGTCAATTCTATAATTTCTTTAGTTAAATTCAAAGTAATTGACATTCCATTTTCAGAGCAACACCAGACAAAAAATGCTAGGAAATGAGCCAAGTAAGACAATTCACTATGTATAGGGGGGAAAAGGAAAAAAAAAGAAGAAAATGATGCCTCCTCATGTCAAAAGAAATTAATACAAATGGAAAGCCTTCTGCTCATGTGAGGGGTCTTGCATTATCCTATATCATTCAAGAGGGGCCCCCCAATGGCTTCTGAAAAACAGGGGGAACAAATGGTGAAGCCTCATCACAAGGAAGACATTCAGTTTATATATTATAACAAAAGAACATATACTCTATACATACTAACTGCAAATTTATTTTCCAAAAGATAATCTTTAAGTAGCTAAAAATTGCATTATCTAGACCCCATTTGTCTTTTGGAAAATCTCAATGTGCTCTACCATAGGGGTCGGTTGGTTAGACAGCCTGTAAACTATTACTATTGACTTTTCCTTGGCAAACATTAAAGGCTGTTATCCTTCTGCTATTTTTAAAAAAATGTTTTAATAGGCTGTTAGCCACCCAAAGTTGCATTTGCAAGACAGGTAGCCAGATAAATCAATTAAATAAAGATATTTTAGTAAATTTCACAATTTGTACATGTGCAAAAAAAATCAAGGGAATTCCCTGACAGACTAATAGGAAATGAGCACTGCACTGTACATGGAGACAATGGCTGTAGAAGAAAAAGGCATGGCATGGTACCCTGAACAGGAACGTGGCACTGAAATATCTTGTGGCAGATAGCATTCATGGTTTTAAAAACTAAAATCTGTTTGTTAAAAAAAGAAGAAAGGGGAAAGAAACACATAAAAATTAGCAATATAATCTCAATGGGCTGGAAATGGGGAAAGTTCTCAACGGAAGAGACCTTGATAAAAATAGGAGCAACTCTCCACTGATGTTGTTTAAAGCAGTGTTTCTCAACCTCAGCAACAGCATGGACTTCAAATCCCAGAATTCAACTGCCAGCATGCTGATTAGGGAATTCTGGGAGTTTAAAGTCCACACTTCTTAAAAGTTGCTGTAGTTGAGAAACACTGCTTAAAAGTACAGTAGGTAAGGGCATATAAACATGCTCAGCTCTGTCTTCACATTTATAAGATTACAACTACCTTCTATCTAAACGAAGGACTGAAAATGGTAAAAAAGCACAGTGTTCTGTGGCTGGCTTGAAAAATGAGTTTTTTGGGGGGGACAGTGATATATGAATTACTGCACTCATGTGGATTTTTTTAGACAATGCTAACCAGAGTTTGCTATTTCATCCCTCCAACTTAACTGATTTGTTTTATCAACCACGTGCTTAGATTATTAAAATATAGCAGACTATTGCAATTTCTCAAATAATCTATAATGCTCAAGCTCAAACAATAAGGCAGCATATCACTGAAAACCCCAAGATCTTCTTCACTCATTATCTTCCACAATGTATTCATAAGGGTAAAGCTGTACTTGGCCATCAATTATGCCTGGCATCCAGTCATGAAAAAGATTAGCAGTGCTGCAATCAGAGAATTTTGCCCACCCCCACAGAAGCCTCTGAGAAATAAGGCAAGTCTGTAGTTCTTTATTCCATGCGTGGGTATGAAGAAGTGTCGCTGTTTTGCATTAATTTGGAGAAAAACAGAAGAAAGCAGGGAAATGTCTGTTATTTCTCTCCTTTCAAAGCTTTTTTGGGCTTGGTAATTGCTTTAAGGCTGAACAAATTAATGAAGACATTGCCGATTTGTAGAAAACAATAATGGAACAATAATGGAACAATAGGGAATATTCCCTCTTTTTTTATCCTTCTACAGCTTTCTGCAAATCAGAGACACTTTCATCTTCCTTGTGTTCTGTAGTCATCAAAATGTCTTGGACTGGAGCTAGATAATTGTCACTATGAGAATTAAAGTAATACCAGAATTTGGAGGCCAGTCCCATTTCTGAAATCAGGAAAAATGTCTAACTTGAGAATTAAAAGAATAAGCTCTCTGCTCACATAATGCCTCTGTGGTAAATATAGCCTGAGCATCTTTGATCAACCACAAAAGCAGACTTTGGATCACTGATAATCTGCATCAATGCCCTATTTCTACACAACTATTTCATGAAATTTCTACAAAAGGAAATGCAACTTTTTGGAAAACAAGGACTATAGTTAATATGGAGGTAATGTCTGAAAATAAGGTAGCTGCGGAAATGTGCAGTGCAACATCAATGGCATGGGCTTGGTTGGGGATTTTCTATTTTCTTCCTCTTTGTCAGTGGGTGAAGAGTTTTTCTTATTTTCAAAAAAATCTGTGAAGCATTTTTTTTAGGAATTGCACTCTAGTTTTACACTCTAGTTTTTGTGCTTTCACACTTGACAGTAGCAGGTTTCACTTCACCATTGTCAGATTTTGGCAATTGTGTGACTAAAATTTAACAGCACAGTCAGAACAACTTCACCTTCCCAAATAATTGAATTTTTTTTTACCTTTCAAGAGTGAAAAATAGGAATCAGTTGCATTTTTCATCATATCTGGATTACAACTTAAATCAGTAAAAAGTTCCAGAAGCCGTGCTCTTGATAACCTTAAATCACTATATTAAAGGAGAAATAAAACAAAAGATACTTCTCAGATGTGCATTGTTTTCTCACATTAACTCACATTTCTATATGTTCTTACACTTACTTGCAGATTTTTGTCGCAGCTGGAGTTGTGGCTACTCCATAGTAATTGAATGAAACAGGAGCTGTACCCTTTAAAGGGTTTCGATGGAACCAATGAGTCATTCTCTTCTTAAACGTTAGATTACAGCAAGACTAAAATAGAGAAAAAATACTGATTTTATATAACATAACACTTAAAATCTGTTTATTTAATACATTTCAGTTTTCTATGGAAAGATATTGACACACACATATACATATATTTATGTTACAGAAAGAGACAGAAAGAAAATAAACCTAACCAGATGTTTGAATAAACACGCAAAGTGTTGTCCTATATGAAATATTATATTAGATGTGATGTACAACACTGATATTCTATAGTGTCTTAACTCATGACAACCGTGGAAGAAAATCACTTGTTTTAAGAATAATTAATAAAATTAAAATAATTAATTAAAATAAAAATAAAATTCATTCAATTTATATAACTGCCTTTCTCAGATGCGTGACTCTAGGCAGCATTATAATTGTTGCATCTTGTTTAGTATTAATATTAGCAATAAACATAAAAAACAATTAAAACCTAAAACTTTTTTTTAAAAAAAATCAAAATTAAAGTACAGTAAATGCAATAGAATTTTGAGGGTCATTGTAGGTGCTCCTAATAATGACCAGAGGTTGAAAGCATTTGCTTCTCTTCAGGAAGTGTTAATTTTCATTCAGTTTTTCAAAGATGAATGGGACTGTGTATATGATCAGGGTATAGGCCACTCCTGCTATGGGCCACATTATTTTCACATGATTAACAGCCGGTTGTTGCCTCTTCCTTATAGCCTGCTGAAAAGAAGTAAAATAATGGCTTTTAAGCTGTTTTACACAGAGCCTTTGCATCCCTTAATATTGTAAAATGTCTTATGATTATGAACAAAAACTGTTTCAAAATACAGTTTTTGTGTTGTCAGAAATGTATGCAGATATGTGACGGGGGAGAGAAAATGTCATTCATGAAGAACAATGAAGTTCTTAAATGCTGTGCAGTTGTGTGTATAGTTTTTTTTTAATATGACTATGTTTGACATGTTTGTTTTTATAAACACCAGTAGATGACATCACTGCTGTCAGCACTGGTGGAACCTTTCATAAGAACATTATGTGAAGAATTTTGGAAGCCACTTCTTTTTATCTTTCTCTTTTCTCTTTTTCAACTTTTTTCTTTCTTCCACTGTTTTCTTCTTTCCTTTTTTTTCTTTATATTCATTTGTGTTAGTTTTTATTTTATTTATTTATTTATTTATTTATTTTATTTTCAAATATTTATATGCTGCCCAATCCCAAAGGACTCAGGGCGGCGTACAAAGTTAAAACAATGATAAAACAATAAAATAAAACAGTCATACCGCGAGTCCGATCATATCCCGGCCCCCAGGGGACATCAGCCCCAGGCCTGCCGGAACAGGAGGGTTTTAACGGCCTTCTTAAAGGCCGGCAGGGTGGGAGTAGTTCGAACCTTGGGGGGAAGTTGATTCCACCAGGTCGGAGCCACCACAGAAAAAGCCCTTCCCCGAGGGCCCGCCAGCCGACATTGTCTGGCCGACGGGACCTGAAGGAGGCCCAATCTATGGGACCTCACCGGTCTCTTGGAGCTGTGCGGCAGAATGCGGTCCTGTAAGTAACCTGGCCCTATGCCATGAAGGGCTTTGAAGGTGATAACCAACACCTTGAATTGCGTCCGGAGACCCACAGGAAGCCAGTGCAGCTCTCGGAGGATAGGTGACACGTGGGCGTACCTTGGCGCGCCCACAATCGCTCTCGCGGCTGCGTTCTGAACCAACTGCAGCCTCCGAACGCTCTTCAAGGGTAGCCCCATGTAGAGCGCGTTACAGTAATCCAGTCTTGAGGTGACAAAGGCATGAGTGACTGTGAGTAAAGCCTCCCGGTCCAAATAAGGCCGCAACTGGTGCACTAGGCGAACCTGTGCAAAGGTCCCCCTGGCCACAGCCGATAGATGTTGTTCCAGATTTAGCTGTGAGTCCAAGAGGACACCCAAGTTGCGTGCCTGCACTGAGGGAGGTAAATTTGCCCCCCCCCAGGACTAAAGATGGACCATCCAGTTGGCCTTTGGGAGGCAAGACCCAGAGCCACTCGGTCTTGTCAGGGTTGAGTCTAAGCCTGTTCACCCCCATCCAGACCCTCACATCTTCTTTATGTTTAAAGTTTAAAAGTTTTAATGTTATATAGAGATTGAACAGCTGTGACAAACAATCCTGGATGATGTCTTTTTATGGGAGTTACACATTAGGCTGGTGAAAGCTTTGAAGACTCCTTTTAAAGTTGTAGAAAAGTTTAATGTTGTCTTCCTTAAAGACAGGTGGTGAAAGATCAAATCCTGCAATGCCACAGAAATGATGTAAAAGGACTGTGCAGAGCAAAAAGAAAATATAAAGTTGGACTATTTGATCAGAGATAAACTATTGCTATTTCTGATATCTCCTAATGGACTTTTTGCTGAACGAGGATTGTGAAAGATGAAGATGGAAGAGGATGGTTTCTGCATTGTATACAAATTAGGCTAAGGGAAGAAGAGGTTTTTTTTTATTTGTAACTTTAAAAGAGAGTAAAAAGCTAGCATATTAGCTTATGCTTGGCATGATGAAAATTGGAAGCCACTTTTTTATTATCTTTGTTGCTTTTTTCTTTTCTCTTCTTTCTGAAGATTTTGAACTTTTTGCTTTTTTTCTTCTAGTTTACTTTGTATTAGTTTATATTTACTAAAACTTCAATAAAATTGTTTTTTAAAGAAAAAATAATTTCATATACATGTGAGACAAAGTTCTTTTCCCTTCTTTCTTCCTTGAAAATCCTTGATATTTGTTCAACTCTTCTAGATTGAAGAAACATTTTGTTAATGACAGACATATCACTGCTTCTCCAAGCATGAATTACCTCCGTAAACATGGAACCAGTTCTTTCTGAACATTTTAATAAGCCAGGACAGGCCAAGAGAATTGAGGAAAGAGAGGTTGGCCCTCACTTCTTCAGATATACTTTCTGCATCCTTGAGATCCAAAAACTGATGAGAATTCAGAACTGCAGAAGCAGTTGTCATGGTTACATCATCAGTTTCTGCTCCAAGAGAACATAAGGAGCCAGTATACTGTACTACAATGTTGAACTGGAACACAAGGGATTCAGACTCAAATGCACAGTCCACAGAGTTTGGAACCAATCAATCTCTAGGCTCAGCATAGATGGTTCTCAAGAGAATAAAATGAACGGAGTCCCCCTCTGTAAGACAGATTGAACAAGAGGCAACAAACAACAACAATGAACTCTAGGTTGAGTGAATTTGCTTTTAGCTGCAAAGAACACAGCAAATTTGCCAGAACAACCCTCAACTGCTACGTATCTCCACTCGCATCATTCTATTGCAGAAAAGCTACATAGTGCAGAAAAACAATGTTGGCATGTTCTATATCAATGGTTCTCAACCTGTGGGTCGGGACCCCATTTGGGGTCGAACGACCATTTCACGGGGGTCGCCAAACAACGCAGTCCGCCATTTTTTTCCCCCTTTTCCTTAGCTGTGCTACTCCCTTTTATTCTATTGGCTTTTGAAAGCCAATAGAATAGACTCTCTTGAATAGAGTTTAATTCTATTGGCTTTCAAAAGCCAATAGGAATTGTCCAGGCTGTCTCTGCCCTGCTGAGCCCACCAAAAGTCCCATTCTGCAAATGGTGCTGCACCAGTTGAGTAGTCCTTGACTTACGACCGGTTGAGTAGTCCTCGACTTACGACCGGTTGGGGGGTCGCGACATTAAAAAGGTTGAGAACCACTGTTCTATCTAGTCACAGTGCAGATCTAAAATAAGGCATTCTTATTTTCATTGCCACAGAATATTGCTCCAAATAGACTTTAGTCCCTGCTTGATTTGATTCCCCAAATGCATTCTTTATTTCCATTTATCCAGTTACCTTTCTGGTTAATTTGTTTAAGCTCTTCAATAACTGAGCAGCTGATTTAGCTATTTTGTGAGGGGGTTTAAACAAGGATTATGGCAATAATCTGGGATCGCCTATAGTGCTTCCTACAAATGCTCCCTATGACAAGACTGTAAAACAGTGGTCTCCAGCAGGTTTTAGAGCTCTGAAGTTGGAAGAGTCAGCTTTGCCCAAGCTGCAGTTTGGAATATTCTAAACAGACACTGGATTTGCCTACTTCCTTTCTTAACTGTTTCTTAGCCATTGAATATGGCTTGTATATTGCTTTTTGGTATTAAGAATCTCCAGAAAGACATGTTTTTATTATACTGGATGATTTTCTTTCAATCCTTCGCGAAAGAAGTTTTATGTATATTTAAAAACTTTATTTGGAATTGAACTGATTTTGGAAAGTTTTTAAACAAACTAAGGAAGCAGACTGACTAGAAATAAGATGAAATTATTATACTGTAAAAATATTTCCTGTGATTTGTTTAAAATCCTATTAAAATTATATGAATCATTTGAATTTAAGCATAAGAAATCTTTCCCTGGAAAAATGTTGTGGATTAAAGAAAAAATGATAAGAAGAGACCCCGAAGGCTGGTTACTAGAAGCAACCAGAAAGAACTAAAGATAATTATAGCAGTCCTTGACTTACAACCCTTCCTGCAATGACACTCTGGAACTACAACCACCCCTGAAAAAGTAACTTGCTACCCATCTTTGAAGTAATAACCACTGTACCACCTGTGGTCATGTCATCACAATTTGAGTGCTTGGCAACTGGCAACATCTAATACAGAATGGAGAAAAGTTTTTGGCACAGTATCATGTCCTGTTTGTTTTCAGAATTCACAGGATTGTTTTGGGAATTGCCATTGGGACTTCGTAGCTGCTAGTGTTACCCTCCTAAATTAGCTCATCTTTATCTTTTAGGACACCAACTTGATCTAATCTTGAAGAAACATGGTTAAAGTCTGATATCAAAGCAGAGTGTAATTTCTATTCAGTAATCCTTTAAACCTCTGCAGATTAAAAAGTCCTTCAAGAATGACTGATTTGTGTATTATTATACTATATCAAATTGGAAGACTTCTTAAGAAGGGAATGGATTCTTTGCAACTCCAGGGTAAGACATACACAAGTCCTTGACTTACAACTACAACTGAGTCCAAAATTTCTGCGCTAAACAAGATGGTTGTTAAGTGAACTTTGCCCAATTTTACTACTTTTCTTGCTACAGTTGTTAAGTGAGTAAAATGCTTACCAAATGAATCTGGCTTTCCCATTGATTTTGCTTGTCAAAAAGTAGCAAAAGGTGAACATGTGACCTCAGGACACTGCATTGTAATTTTGAACGGTCACTAAATGAATGGTTGTAAGTCGAGGACTACCTGTACTGCGTAACCTTAGATATTTTCCTAATGCAACATAGTAAAAAAGACCACCTTCTTTCTCAAGTATTACATAAGAAAATTCTCACATTGCTTATTAATCCTGGACAGAAACTTGAACAATGAGCAAGACAAAAGTTTTCCTTATTTATCCTGCCTCCGTTACATGTAGTCATAGTAATGAATCAAGATTTTCCCATGTTTCGGCTTAAACACAGTAACAGCCAAAATGTTCATCTAAAACTCTGTAGAAAGGAAGAGGCAAGATAAATACTTTTTCATATATAGATAGTCCTCGACTTATATCCACAACTGAGCCCAACATTTCTTTTGCTAAGCAAGACAGTTAAGTGAATTTTGCTCCATTTTACGATATTTCTTGCCACAGTTAAGTGAATCACTTCAGTTAAGTGAGTAACATTGTTAAGTGAATCTGATTTCCCCATTAACTTTGCTTGTCAGAAGGTAGCAAAAGGTAATCCACATAACCCCAGGACACTGCAAAACATGCCAGTTGCCAAGCATCCAAATGTTGATCATGTGGCCATGGGGATGCTGCAATGGTCGTAATGGTGAAAACTGGTCATAAATCACTTTTTTCAGTGCCACTAACTTAGAATGGTCACTAACCAAATGGTTATAAGCCGAGGGCTACCTGTATTGAACTTTTGCTTTTAAAAAAACAAAACAAAAACGGAACCATTAAAAAGAGCTTGCATCAGTGCTCAGAAATTCTGCCCTTCATTGCAACACGCTGGCCTTCTCCGGCTCTACAGTAATTGTGCTTCCTTCCTAGCAGACAGCAAAGCGAACTGCCCCATAGCCAGTATAAATCCAAGCCTCTCCCAGCACATACTTTCTCTCCGCCTTCTCTCCTTAGAGAGGGACTGCTCTATTTTACCTTCTCTGTTTCCAGCGGACTCTTGTCAACAGTAGCCACTACCGTACAGATCTACGGAAATCAGTTCAAGGAGGAGGAGCCGCACCCCCAGAGCTATGAAAGGAAGGCGGCAAGGCCCGAGTCCGCCTCTCAGTGGCTCTGCTGAAAAGTAAGCCCTGGCACCGGCTTCACTGCAGGGAAGAGATTCGCCCCTTCCAACCTTCTTTTCGACTGGGAAATGCGCGCCTAAACCCATTTCCTGAAGTCAGTATGGTGATTTTTAAATTACAAGCTATTCGGTTTGGGGGATCACCTCGATTAAATCCGGTCTCTTTTTCTCCAGCTATTATCAATTACTTTGCCAAGTGTTCGTTCGAGCTGTGTTCGGCTGTTGGAAACCTGGTGCTCCCTGTCCTTCGGATCAGTAATCCCATCTCACTGAGAGGGATCGACAGGCCTTGGAGTCTATATATTTGAAGGATGTTGCGGTACAGTGAGCACATTGATGCCGGTTTGTAGCAATTCCCAGCTGAACTCTCCGAAGCACAACTGACTATAATAGGAAGCAATATGCTAATCCGAATGGGCTTTCCATCGGATATGCAATACCGGTTTTTGGGGGTTTCATTCACCGTTTAAAACCGCGCCCCATTTGCTGAGGCCTTAACGGGATTTCCTTAAGCCTCAAAGTGAGGCTCTTTCCTCATAATGTTTGCACCTCTAAGTAGTCTCACTGATTATAGCGAAGGAGGAGCCGCTGAGTTAACAGAGCAGAGGCCACGCCCACTCATAGCTGGTAAGGCTCATTGTTCTCTGCTTTAAGTACAAACTGCGATGTAAACATCCCGAGGAGCCTGCCCGGGAATAATCCTCTATTTTCTCACACACTCTGCGGGCTGTTTAGCTTGACGCATTGAGATTCTACTATGTTCATATCCCCTCCCTGAAAAACCATCCTAATTTCGTCAATTAAGACTGCGTGAACATTTTAAAGTGTTCACATTTCCTCCACCTCTGCTTATTTTAAAAGTGTTCACATTTCCTCCACCTCTGCTTATAACGACATCAAGCCTATTTCTCTTCTATTTTCCTAAAGGGCTTGTCTTTACAGAGCTTCCACAACTTTATCCGAAAAAACAAACTAGTCTTGAGTTAAAACAATACGATATTCACAAATCGTTTAAGGTTAAAGTTTTGCAACACAGGCGGAAGTGGTTAGTTTAATTCTATTCAATTCTCGAAATTGCGCTGTGACTGGAGGTTACTATTTGTGTAATAGTAAAATAAGGCTAAGAAATCTTAAGAGGAAAAGGGGAACGATTCATTCAAGAAGTAGTAACTATTTAAACACGTTTTTTTCCTTAACTGGCCCAGAAATATCCAACTGATCGTGTATACATAAGAATAAACGAAATAAAGCTTGGGAATGCAAGGAGGTAGGAAAACAACAGCCAATCGTTTCGGAATTAACTCTCAACTGAGCATATTTCACAAAAGAATAAAAGGTAATCACTATACTGAATGCATTTAATTCCATGACCAACTGTCTGTGCAAGGCTGGACCTTGGAAACAATCAGAGAGGAGAAGGAAGCCGCTATGATTCATCACAGCCAGCGTTCAGGTGCGGTAAAGAGAGGAAACAAAATACAAGCGCCTACGATATAATAAATAGAAGCTTCCTACCACTCACCCACCTCGGAAGATTCTCTACTCTATGCCAGAGATCCAAAAATTGTAGAGGAGTTAAAGGATAACTTCTGTAGGGTGACCTCGGCAATAATAAACCAAGAAAAACCCACCCGACTCCCTAGGCACCAATAGTGGAAAGTCACGTGGCCTTCCTGGACCTGGCAAGGTCTCGCTAACCGGGCGGAAGCGCTTCACGTAATGGTAGCATCGAAATCGGGCCGGGCAGATCTCGGCTCGCTAAAGGCATGAATGCCCCCGAAGGAGTGCTATGGCTTTCTATGCAGCCCAGTTGCTCGACAAAGCAGAGCGAGTGGGATTAGTCGACTCTCAGGGTCTCCCTTTTCTTTTTACCGACTGAAAGTCCGTACATAAAGAGCTGGAAAATGATGGAAATCGGGCAACTACCCTCTTTGCATCTGTTACATGTGTATAGATACAGAAGTATGGTGACTAATCATCCCCCCCTTTTCCTGCTCAGTTTGAGGCATGAAGGAGAAAGTGCGGTGAGCTTGCGAAGCCAGAGGGCCGCCGAAAGGGATGGCGATCTGATTTGTCTGGCTTGTGATGATGTAAGGCGGCGGCAAAGGAACATCAAGAAAGTTTGAAAGCACCTCTTGATGCGTTTACCAGGAGTAACGCATCAAAAGGCTATTGGCAAGGAACGTCGTAAAAGCTAGTGCGCATAAAATCGTAAATATTTTCCTGACGTGTGAGTCGAGGCACCTATACTCCAAGAATATTTGAGGTTTGATTTCCCCATCCGGATGCAAACTTCGAATTTGCATAAGCTTTTTTTCAAAGTTTAGGTAAATACAGGAAGTAACAATGTTGTTGTTAGTTGCGAAGTTAAGTGTGCAGAATATATTCCTCTTTCAAGATCATAATGCACATACATTCACATTTAAAGCCACATTTTTTTAACAGGGTAATGTTTTCTGCTGCCTTGGGACTTTTAGAAAGTTCTGCAGTTTTCCGCTGAAGCGGCTTGTCATTCTTTGCCAGCGGACGCCCGCTGGAATAGAATCTCAAAAGTAACCAAAAAGCTCCTTCTCCAATGAGGCCTTTGCAAGTTTACAACAATTTAGATCCACGCACGCGCAGTCAGGACTCAATAGGGTCCCCAGTTCCGCTGCGCAGGGCAAAGAGAAGGCGGCGGCTTAGGTACAACCGATCATGCTGGTGGGCGGGACTCGTTAGAAGCGACTGCCAGGTTTGGATGAGAAGGCAAATGGGCTTGGTCGGGGGATGAGCGGTGGTGTTGCTGGACTGGAGCGAGCGGCCGTTGCCCGGCGAGAGCCCTCCTCTCCTTGCTCCCCGGCTCCCATTCCGCGGCGCGACCGCGGATGACGATGGAGTCCTAGCAGCTGGGACCATGTCGGAAGCGACTCGGAGCCTTCTGCAGCGCTGGGGCGCCAGCTTCAGAAAAGGGACCGACTTCGACTCCTGGGGGCAGCTGGTGGAAGCGATCGACGAGTATCAGATGTGAGTGGGGGGTGAGCGGCGGCGGGGGCAGCAGCAGCTTCAAAAGGGTCGGGCTGGCTGAAAGGGAGCTGCGGGAGGGGGCAGAGCCTCTGGGTGGGGCGAGAAGTTGGGGTTCAGGCACCCGTGGGGCTGGGTGCGTCTGGCGGGTCTGGGCGGAGCCCCAAGGGGGTGACCTGGAGGGCAGGGAGGCGCTACAAAGCCTCTGGGTGGGGCGAAGGGCAACGGCAGGCGATCAGGGGCGAAGGGCTGCTTCAGGAAGGCGGCAAAGGGAGAGGAGGTTGTGCGAGGGTCTCTCTGGTCGTAAATACTTCGCGCTAGAAGGCTTTGTCTGGCGCGAAGGGTCTGGGGACGAAGAAGGGGCTCTGCGTCGAGGCTACAGAATTGGGAAAACCCTCCTGACCAGCCTCGCTTCCATCACTGCCCCATGCCTGTGTCTAAATGTAAGATGCTGAGGCTCTTGCTGTCGATCTGCATCGATTGCTTTGAAATGTACTGTTTTTTTTTTTTTAAGATAAATGCAAATAAAATGATTCTGCTAATTTTTATGCGGCTCCCCCAAGCTCTGAACGTTTTTTAGGTTGGGCAGCTTTGGGATATCTGACGGAAGTTTTGGCCTTGGAAGCCACCTGTTGTTTCTAGATCATTAATCTGAACCTTGGGATTCTTTTTCAGGGTCATCTCTTTCACTACCAGGTGTATGATGTAGTACAAATGGAAAAAGAAATTTTGTGATTAATTGCTTCTCTTTCAATGATTTAAAATTGTGTATTTGGCAGCTCTAGTCCCATTCCTGATAAACCTGCTAGGTTTCCATATAGTATTTGGCTATTTTTTTATTGAATTGCCACATGAGGATATTTTGTAATACTAATAGCTTGTTAGGAAGCAATTAATCTATTGTCTGGCCAATTGTTGCTTTTGAAAACTCCCATGGCTTCAGAAACTCATGGCTGGGGAAGGAATCTAGCTGAGAGAAAGAACTTGGCTCTTGGGAGGAAATTAACATTTCTTTGGCTTCTGACCATTGTATATCATATTGAGTAGCTGATATCCATTAACTTTTTTGATTTCAGAATATACAGATTTATTTTATTCCCAACACAAAAGTGTCCCTCCCTAAATGGCAATTAAGGAGAACTTGTATATTATTTTTTGTTTGCTGAAGCTATTCCAAGACCTACAAGACTAACATATGTTATGCTATAACATCATGTACCTAGGTCTGACTAAAGCTTAGTGAGTGCACTTATAACCCAGAAGTGTAAAATTATATTGCATGTGTCTAATAAAATATCAGACATTTATATTTAACTTTTATAGATTAACAATAACTTAAGCAGTTAGGAAACAAAAAATGTCATTTGTTGCTTTAATTAAACTGTAGAAAGATTACGCTGGGAGGGAGGTTACTGAATGCTTAAATGTTCATAGCATTTCCCTTGCCTATCCAGTTGGAATGTGCAACATTTTGAAGTCTTGATCTATAATTTTATGCATTTCTAAGAGCTTTATGGATCAAGGCCTAGGTTTCCATTTTATAGTGTCATAATATGGCTAATCAGCCAGTTAGTAATTTCTCTTTTTTACTGTTGATCTCTAACTGGAATTTAAAGCATTTTTATTTTGGTGGTATATATGACTGCAGGCATTGAAAGCTGAATATCTCTGAATTTATCCAATCTTTTTTAAACTGCTTGTAACTGCTGGTCATTATCACATCTGATACTTAGCATCTGTATGATATTTAGATTTAAAGTATGGTGCCCATTACATTTTCTTAAACTATATTGCCTTATCAAAGAGTGACACTATTGTTTTATAAAGGTGATCTTAGAGATCACATGTTAATTTGCATGCATTTTCTGAAAAAAGATGGCAAATAAGTAGTTTTCAATATAAAAACAGAAGAAACATAATATAGGTAGTCCTCAACTTATGACCATAATTGAGTCCAAAATTTCTGTTGCTAAGTGAGACATTTGTTAATTGAATTTTGCCCCATTTTACAATCTTTCTTGCACATTTGTTAAGTAAATCACTGCAGTTAAGTTAGTAACACAGTTGTAAAATGAATCTGGTTTCCCCATTGACTATGCTTGTCAGAAGGTTGCAAATGGTGATCACAGCAAAAATAACAATTCTCATTATTATTAAAGGCTGTGCCCTTAGAAAGCCTAGTTATGATTGAATAGATTTAATAGAATAGAGCTGGAAGGGACCTTGGAGGCCTTCTAATCCTGCCCCCTGCTCAAGCAGGAGAACCTATACCAGGGGTGGGCAACCTTGGCTCTTTTATGACTCGTGGACTTCAACTTCCAGAATTCCTGAGCCAGCCATGCTGGCTCAGGAATTCTGGGAGTTGAAGTCCACGAGTCATAAAAGAGCCAAGATTGCCTATCCCTGACCTATACCATCTCAGACGTCACTGTCTAGCCTCTTTTAAAAAATCTCCAATGATGGAGGGCCCACGATTTCTGGGGGCAAGTTATTCCACTGGTTAATTGTCCTCACTGTCAGAAAGTTTCTCCTTAATTCCAGGTTGCTTCTCTCTTTGATCAGTTTCCAACCATTGTTTCTTGTCCTGCACTCTGGTGCTTTGATGAATAACGTGACCCCTTCTTGGTGGCAGCCCCTCAAATACTGGAATACTGCTATCATGTCTCCCTTATTTCTTCTTTTCTTTAGACTAGCCCAGGGGTGTCAAACTCGTCACGTGACATGTTGTGACGTATTGCAACTCTTTTTGCATTGCTGACAATGGGGTGGATGCAATTTCTGTATGATGAAACTGGCCCATGGGCTGGCAGTTTGACATCCCTGGACTAGTCAAACCCAAGTCCTGTAGCCGTTCTTCATATGTTTTAGTCTTCAGGCCTTTAATCATCTTAGTTGCTTTTGTCTGAATTTTTTTCCAAACTCTCAACATCTTTTTTGTGATATGGTGACCAAAATTAGCTGCAGTATTCCAGGTGTGGTCTTACTAGGGTTTTATAAAGCTGTACTAATACCTCACGTGATCTTGATTCTATGCCTCTGTTTATACAACCCACGATTATATTAGCTTTTTTGGCTGCTGCTGCACATTACAGGTTCATGGTTAAGTGGTCGTCCACTAGGACTGCAAGGTCCCTTTCACAGTAACTGTTTTTAAGCCAGGACTTCCCAAATCTCTACTTGTACCTTTGATTTTTCCTACCTAAATGTAAAACTTTGCTTTTCTCCACATTGAAACTCATTTTGTTGAATAGGACCCATTGTTTAAGTTTGTCAAGATCTTTTTGGATCCTGAGTTTGTCTTCTGGGTTGTTGGCTACTCCTACCAGTTTAGTGTCATCTGCAAATTTGATGAGTTCCCCTTCAATTCCCTTATCTAAGTCATTGATGAAGATATTGAAGAGTACTGGGCCTAAGACGGAACCTTGTATTACCCCACTGCTTACTTCTCTCCATGTGGATATAGTGCTGTTGAGGTCTACTCGTTGAGTACAGTGCTAGGACCCTCAACAGTGTTTCACCATTAGTAACTTAAAAATGTGAGCATAAGATCATTTTCCTTTGAACTTCATGCAAAATTATTTTCAAAACTACCGTAAATGCCAGCGTATAAGACGACTTCCGCGAGCGCTGAAATCTGCGCCAAAGACGGGGGTCGTCTTATACGTCGAGTCGTCTTATACACCAGAAATACTGGTAGTTTCCAACGTATAAGACGACGTTCTAGGAATGCGGCCCGGCTATAAAGACGGGGGTCATCTTATACGCTGGGTCGCCTAATATGCCGGCATATACGATAGTTTTAGTTGATATGAATATACACATTTGTGAAAGAAAAGTGAAATTTGGAAATGATAAGCTTGAAGTTGTAAATCTAGCCATTTCCAAGAAGTGCAATCAAATGGGCAGAAGTGGAATTTAAGCTAGATCCAAGTTGTACTTTTGCAGTTTGATTCATTGTATGGCCTTGCACAAATTGCCATCTTTCAGCATCAATTTCACATCTTAAAAAAAAAGATTAGTGATTTTTCTCAAGGATCGCTAACAAAGTAGAGTTTGGGTAGGAAGGGGGACTTTTTTAGTGGAAAAGTTTATAACCTTTTTTGAAAAAGTGATGAAAAAAATGGGTGACGGTGCTTCAGATTTGGTTCCATAAAATATTTGGAATGTTTATGGAGTATGAATGTAGCATCTTCCTACAGTTCTTTAAAGTAGGTACATCATTTTCTGTGATCATGTAGCAGGTGCAGAGTATAACTATATAAACCCAAGAAAAGACACCCCTGCTATAAAATGTTGCAGACTGGCATTATATGCTCGTACTCTAAAGTACATTTTCTGAATTGTTTCCCAATTTCTGTATAATTGATATATGATTGAAATACACATTTAACATATTTGTATTAGCATTTCCCTTAGAATTACAATTGCAACATTCTATATAATATTAAAATATTACAACACTTGAATACTGTCAATCTATAACTCAAAGACTTTTCTATTAGGCCAGAGAGAGTTTTCTGTATAAGAAAGTTGAAAATAGTTTCTGAAAAAAATAATCTTTGCTTTCTATATATAGATATGTTTTTTTCATGACTGAGTTTATGGAGAAAATGTCTAAATTGAAATGATTAAGAACTCTTTTGGATAGATTCCCCCCCCCCCCCATTATGTAGCTATTGGGAACTAAAAAAAAAAATCTGTTTCTTGGCTGCCATTGCTTGCTGTTTATTTTTTTAAACTTTTTGGTATAACTGTAAATAATATTGAAATAAAATAAAGGCACTTTTACATTACTTAGCATTGCATTTTATATCTTTATAGGATTTTTTCCTATAAAGTGGATCCCATTGAAATTAAAAGGGTTACTTGCTTAGTGGGAATGACACTGCCATCTAAATGCAATAAAATATGCTTGGGATTGGTAAAAAAAATGTGTATGAATATCCTATTCTCTGTGGAAATTTCTGCACTAAAAATGTATTGTGGAAGGAGGACATGTTTTCTCTCTCAAAATTATAATTTTTTCCCAATTGTTCATTTTTATGTTCCAAATTAAGTGATCGCTAACTATCACTGCTATTTTAAGGATGGTGTTTGGAATCCTGAATGCCTGTTCTTGAAGTTAAGAGAGGATATGAACAGAAATTGAGATGGTTACTTCCATGGTTTCAATTCTTTAGGACAGCTGCTAATGGAAACCCCTTGTATAGATAACTCTTATGTTTACTTATTCTATACTTTGTCAACTTCCTTAAACTTGTTAAGATTTTGTATTCATATTGCATTTTCTATGTTATCATTGAGGACAAAAATGTTTCCTATTAAAAATCTATTTTTTGAAAAATGTATTTTTGTTTCTAAGTTTATCTGAAAGCAAAGTATGAAGCTGTTATTTCTATTTCTAGTATTGTCTACTAATAAATGTGTTGAATAGAGATCATTTCCGATTATGCAAAATGTATTACATTGATTATGGAATTGGGTTTGGCAACCTGAATTGGCTGCTTTTTTTTCTTTCTGGTTTATAATATCTGTCGGTATTGATGTAAACCAGGTGTGTAATTTCTTCAAGAAGCACATTTTATTATTATCTTAAAGGTATGTACATCTAATTTGTACTAGCAAAGTAATGCTATTTTATTGAAATCATAATTATCTATGTGACTAAAAGATAGTTTTAGTACATCCCAGCATCTCCTGCAATATTTTATCTCTTGTTTAGAGGCAGCTCAGAAACTAATGTGTATAACAAATATTCATGTTTCCTAGATACTTTTATAACTTGTGTTTGTGTAGATTATATAACTGAAATAATTATGGTGTGTTGCCTAACAGGATTTTTTCAAGTTCTTTCTATTCTTCCTTCATTTATTTTATCTATGTAATGTACTGTGATATGAGTTTATTCCCTAAATATACCTGGTGACTTATCAAGTAGTTTCCCATCTTTTAGTATTCTGAGCTTGTTGGGACATTTAAAACATATTGTGTTCTTTGTCATTTATTGTAAGCTGCCTAGAATGATGTCAGTAAGCAGCAAACAATTATTTGTTATAATTATAAAGTATGTCATTATTGTTATGGGTCTTCTTGACTTATAACTTTAGTATTAATCCTACCAGTTACCTTTCTTGCTGTACATGAAGTTTAGAAGGAATATTATTATAAAATTTAGGAATGTGGTCAACATGGAATACTGTAGCAATAGTTTTTCAAATCTCTGTCTTTAGAGAAGTCTTCATCAGTTTTTTTGTTTCGCCATCCATTTGTGTTAAAGAGGATTATAGAAGATGTAAGGCAATAATGTTGTTTGGTCAAAACATCATATAATTCATAGTTCTGCATATATAAAACTCATGTTAGTAAATTTCAGTAATGGTGGATAGCTATCTTTTATGAAATATTGCCTTTATTGATGTTCTGTTTGGACAGTCGTAATACATGTAACTGTTGAAGGTCTCATTACTAGGTATTAAAGTCATTGAACATACAAACAAGTGAATATTTGTCTGTGGTTATTGTTTGTGTGTGTGTACGGTCAGGTTAGTCTTGACTCCTGGTGACTGCCTGGATTAGTTATTGCAGGTTTTGTGGCAAGATTTTTCAGAGGTAGCTTGCTTTCACCTACTTCCTAGGGATGAAAGAGTGGTGATGCAGCTGATTTTGTGCCTCATGATCAATTGGTTTCTAGCCCGATGTCTTAACCACTACACCAAAGTGGTTCTTTGTGATTAGCTAATGGATATCAATCTTTGTTTTTTCTAGTCTTTAAAACTTGGAGAGATGAAGCTTATTCCAGGAGGCAAGCAAATAGAGATTACTTCAGTGATGCATCAAACAAGTGGCAATAGGGAAATAAAATGGTTAATTATATGATGAAAAAGGAAAAGTGCCCTAAAACCCCACAGAATAGATTGAATTCTTGCTTATATAGTTCTTGAAGAAAGCACAAAGCTCTAGATTACCTTAAGATGTTTATGCCAAATGTATATTTAGAAGCAAATTCTGTTGAAACCAGTGGATGCACTACTTCACTATTTGCACTAAGGGAAATCAGCTGGAAAGCCAAATGTAAAAGGATATGTGATGTGTGTTGCTCTTACCTGGATCTCTAAGAGAAAAGCATTTTCAACTGATCTATCAGTTTTTATGTAGCAAATATATTTTTATATATTAAAATACTATTAAGCTTCAGGTAAGGGGCTGAAGTTATATTTGTTATATTTGTTTAAGTGTTTTGGTGAACCTCAAACAACCAGTCTATGCATGTTAAACATTAGGTTTGAAAGATCACATCTAGTTATGCCGCTGGTTGCTTCATATTCCTCTCACCCAGTAGTTTTTCAGGTATCTCAATACATTTGTAAAGGTTCCAGTTTGGAAGACACAGAGATTTTTTTGGATAATGCAATTTGTTGATATTGGGAGTAAATGACTTGAAAACTCTGGAAGTATAGATGTTTATTTCCTTGTCCAGATGTGTTTCTGGCACCTCTGTATAAAGCAGTCTAGGATCAGCATTGCCTGTTACATGAAAGAATACTATTACAAAGTTACAAATGTGTTGTTTCCTTGGAAGTTTTGCAGCAATATCACATAGATGCATAGATTGGGGGGAAGCAGTTTCTAGATAAAATAATGAAAGCATTATTGTTGATTTTATCATCTATATGTACTTTAATGCAGAAAATTTTCTTTTTTAAAATATATGGGATGGATTTAAATTTATAGAAGATGTGATACAGATTTACAAAGATAGTGGATGCTATAAATATGCTGGTGTTTTTGGCTTTTGTTTTCTTTTATTTTTGTTTGTTTTGAGAAAATTGGAAAAGATGTGGAAAATTTGGATTGCCATAGGCTGCAGTAGTTTATTTATTTTTACTTTGGGGTGAGGGCAAGGAGGCAAGGTCGCCAGGACAGAATCTCCCTCATAGTCAATATGAATGAATATGCTCCATTTTCCATGCATAAACAAAAGGACTATTAGATCACTAAAGATTAAAACTCTTATAGAAAATAGATATTTTGGTTTATATATCTTCTTTATTTTATAGGCTTCTTGGGATCACAAAGTACATTCTCCTATAATTTGCTTAACGTACTATTCAATTTATATCTCATTGTGAGTACTTTTATAATTAGAGACTCCTTAAAGCCCTTAAATTATTTGTTTTCTTTATCTCTCTCCAGATTAGCAAGACATCTACAGAAAGAGGCACAATCTCAGCCCAACAATTCAGAATTCTCAGAAGATCAAAAGGTACATAATGGTGTATGTTCATTTCCTGGTGAATCTATTTTTAGCAGGAATGTTTCATTTGTTTCTTGCAGTCATTGAGATAATTTGCTTGTATGGGCTATGGTTTACAAGAGCTGGGCTTTTGTAGCACTTATCTGTATACACCAAGTTCAAATAGCAAACTTAATACTTCAGTTCTTTAAAGAAATAAAATAGCTTGCAAAGAAACAATACCTATTTTATTACATTCATATGTAATATAAATTATCTAAGAAAGTTATCATAATAGAGTATACATGTTATCTTATTAAATATTTTTCCTGTATACTAGTTATACATGCCTCCACTACATTAGATACTACATTAGCATAGTTAAATGTGAATATGTGAAAAAAAAATTATAATGTAGACAACTGTGTTCTGAAATACCTGTTCTATATCAACTTGTTTCTTGTCCTGAAAGCTGAAAGCCAAATATTTCAGAGGACAGGCTACCAGAAACACATTATTTCTTCTCCACAGTTTTTTTCTATCAGGAATTCAACACCCCAGCTTTTTTCTCAAAAGCATCTTTCTTCTCCAGCATGATGGATGGAGAATCCACGAATGGGTTTAGACTGTCTTCCTGCCCAATTAGACTAAGTCTGATAAAGCAGCCACGCCTCCTGCTGGGTCCTCTATTTCCCAGACACGACTTAGTCTTCAGCCCAGTAGGACATGATTGTGGTTGGCTCCCTTGTCAGACTTCTGGACAGGTTGTATCTTTCCTTTTTCCCTTTCGTGGATTCTCCTCCTTTATCCCATCCCTGGGATCAGCGCTGCCCCAAAACTCCGAATCAGGACTAAAATTAATTGAAAGCCTAGATTACCTAATTTAATTTAAATTCCAAATTAGGGCTAAATTTTACTCAGGCCTGTTCTTCATCCTATGAACTCCTACTCCACCCAAATCTAAACCTGTGAATGTGGAGGCTTTGAGGACATTATTGATTGGGAAGCTGTAGCTGGAAGGTGGACATTTTTTTCTCCCCTCCTCTTCCCATTCTCTGTAACATGGATGGAAAGCACCTTTTATTTATTCTCCGGCTTTGTTGGATCTCTGCCATTAAGTAATGAATCCTTCGTGTAAAAAGTATATGATGAGGCATGGGAAGAGGATTTCCCTGCCTTGCCAAAGTACATCCTACAAAGGCATGGATTTGTTCTTTTTTAGGGGGAATGGGAGTTGTTTTACAGAATAGTTGGAGGCAATAGCTCTTGTGTTAATGTTAAGATATAATCTCTGATGTATATGTTGGGCTGACCAGAAAATTCTCCTTATTCTTTAGAGTAGCAAAACTTCTGACATTTGGATAAATTAAGTATGATCTCTCTCTTTCTCTCTCTCTTTCCCTCCTTCCTTCCTTCTTTCCTTCCTTCCTTCCTTCCTTCCCCATGCTAAATTTTGACATCTTGTGTTTTTGGCACCTAAAAAAAGGTTTTTTTTCTTTTTCTGGCCATATGAAATCATAAAAACTCAGTTGTATAGAAAGTATTTTTATTTTAGAAGATTATTCTTAAAAACTTATTTAAGTTTCTGAAAAGATAGAATTTCATTGGAGCTACAAAATTCTGCATGAAATCAGAAATGTGTTTGTTTGGTGATGGCTAACAAATCTAGTGATCAAGGAATTTTTAAGCTTTTTTTTTTTTTGAAAAATATAAAGTGGGTATAAAGATTCACTTTGTCAATTTAATGTGTTTAATGAGATACTTTCATTGATGAACAGTAAAGTGCCTTGTTGGGGATAGGATCACTTAGAAAAACATTACTGTAGCTGAGTCTAGCTGTAGTGTTTTAATTTTTTTAATATTTGTGTTGGGTGCGGTTCCTGAGAAACAGTTGTGAATAATACTTTTTGGTATCTTGCCACAATTCAGAAGAGGCTTTTACTTTAAAAAATTATCTCTAAAACATTCAAGAAAATCTGTTCAGAATACTTTCATTCTTCAACTCTCAAGTGCCTTTTAATATATCCTAAAACTTTCTGGTTCACAACAAAGGATAGTTGCCAAATTCAAGGAGCAGTAATTTTTTTTAAAAGGCAAAGATACAACCTCTTAAGCATACTTGCTAAATTGGAAAAGGAAAGTAGGCTGAAAGCTCATTTACCTCTGCTTCATTGTAAGGGGTAAGCGGGTGAGAATATGATAGAGGAAAAATAGTATCTTCATCCTTACTGTACAATAAATGTGAGTTTCTGCTTTCGTATATATTTGCAGTAATGTATGAATATGTATGTCTCCATAATGGAGTCTACTAATTGTGTGTCATTCTATTTCCAGACCTTTTATATCACAGTGCTGCAATTGCATTAAAAAAATGAACATATTTATGCCTGTGTATGGGAACCTATAGGAAACTTTAATGTAATAAGCAGCTTTTGGGTGTGCAGTTTTGATTTTTCTGTTTGCTGCCTCTAGACCCTATGTCAAGGACTTGATTTTCTTGTTTCTGTTCTACCTATTGAGTTGCTGCTCCCTCAGCACATATACTTGACAGTTATTTTTGTTTACTTTTCATATAAAAATATTAATACAGCAACGTCAAATTAATCTGTCTTTCCTGTGTTGCAGAAAACTTTAGCCAAGATTGCAACATGCTTGGAACTCAGGAGTGCAGCTTTGCAGGTATAATTCTGTTTTACCTGTGATTTCTGGTTTCTTTATGGATTTTATTAAATATTAAAAGCTTAAAAAACACGCTTTGTAAAAATCTGACTCGGGCATGTATTCTATTCTCACTCATCTTTCTGTTGTGTGTGATTTATTACAATGTCTTGGTCCAAGAGAATAGAAAAATTAAACAATGGTTTATAATAGGAATCTTAAAAATCTTATATTGACTTTGGAACAATATAAAATGCTAGTTTATACTGGTTTCTCTAATCTTTTCATTCAAACAACTTGAAAGTTTATAATGGTCATCTTCTTCCCATCTTCCATCAAGTACCGTATGTAATATTCACAAAAATACTGTTCTCAGTTGTATCCACCAGAGAATAATGTTTTGGGGTTTTTTTTGTTACCATAGGTGTATTTTGAAGCTGGTCAAAAATGAATATGAAATCTGGCTTCATTTTTCCTTTCCTTTCGTTCATTATTTATTTATTGCAGTATTAACAGTATATACTAACATATCCCAATTCCAGAAAGTATAACTGGAGCAGTGTTTTGCAATTATTCTGTTCCTTTCATAATAGATGATTCCAGTCATTGGGAAGGGGAGGAGAGGAGTCTGTGGCTGTTCTCTTGTGGAATGCTATAGGGGTCACTTCCCCCCCTCCTTCCGTTTAACATTTATATAGTATGTTATCACTATAACCTGCCTCCAGAAGTGGTGAATGCTCCGACACTGGAAGTTTTTAAGAAGAGACTGGACAGCCATTTGTCCGAAATGGTGTAGGGTTTCCTGCCTGAGCAGGGGGTTGGACTCGATGACCTCCAAAGTCCCTTCCAACTTCTTCTTCTTCTTCTTCTTCTTCTTCTTCTTCTTCTTCTTCTTCTTCTTCGTCTTCTTCTTCTTCTTCTTCTTCTTCTTCTTCTTCTTCTTCTTCTTCTTCTTCTTCTTCTTCTTCTTCTTCTTCTTCTTCTTCTTCTTCTTCTTCTTCTTCTTCTTCTTCTTCTTCTTCTTCTTCTTCTTCTTCTTCTTCTTCTTCTTATGTTATATTATTATTATTATCATCATCATTATTATTATCTAATGGTTTGGGACCCAGCATCATCAATGGACTGAAGATATTCGGCTTTACATCATTATCCCAGATCAGGCTGGTAATTAAGTACTGTCCTTCTGGAGGCTTTGAGATTCAGGATTACTCTTTGTCCATCAAGACTCTCTATCTGCTTCAGTAGTACCTCTAAATGGGTCCTCCTGAACTTGTGGTTTCTGCTGGAACAGCAGATAGAAGTCGTAACCAGGGAAGTCTTTGCCCAGTTTTGGCTGTTGTATCAGTTGTAGCCCTATTTGGGGCAGGAGGACATTGCTACAGTGACTCATATACTTGTCACCCCCTGTTAAAACTACTGCAATGTGCTCTATGTGACACTGCCTTTAAAGATAACTTGGAAGTGGTAGTTGGTCCACAATGAGGCAACTTGTGCCTTCTCCAGTGGGAGCCCACTATACTGTGCTATGGGCCTCTGACATGGGACCAGTTTATCAGCAGGACCACATTCTTCCATTGCATTTGAAAAAAGCTGCTAGTGATTCCCCATTTTAGGGCAGTGAAAGGAAATGAGGTTTGGAGGCAGGTGATCTTTTGGAATGGCCTCCTTAGTTCAAACCAAGTTCATGTTGAGGGTCTCTGAACCATGATGTCCCCTTGATTAGGTTAATAGGCAATCTCTGTGTGTAATGTTTTATACTCAATTATGATGATGGAATTTTTAATTGTTTATAGTCTCACATTTTATCCCTGAGGTCTACAAAACTGCCACTGTTTAACTGTTGTAATTCACTACAATATAGCAATGAATAATAACTGCACATGTTAAATATTGTTTTTCTTGTAGTCTACCCAATCCCAGGAAGAATTTAAGCTGGAAGATCTGAAGAAACTAGAACCAAGTAAGTATTTCCGTGTTTTTAATTACACTAAGAAATGGTGGTATAATAGTTACAATGGAAAAAGTATTAAAGAAATTCCCCCACCAGAAAAATGGATTTTACCAATCTGTATAACTTCAGGTTTTATACAACAGAGTGCCTTTCCCTTGCAAATAATTACTTTATACTTTATGAAACTCAATCTATATAGTATCTTTTTTACATTAGTAAAGTCTTAAAAGTTCCTGTGGCTACTCCATTTTACCCTGGGAAGGAGTTTTCAAAATATAGTCTTCCCCAGTAATTTCTGCTGTGATGATTGAGTTTTTAGTAAAAGAGATTGGGACATTGCTATCAGTATGGACCAATTGGCAAAAGGATTGCCACAAATTGCTTGGGGGATTATTGCCTGAGCTTTATTGGCAGATATAGGAAGTACTATCAGTTGCTTAATTATTGGCATTTGAGAATATCTGTTTTTCTCTTGTTGGCAGAGGTTGTTCCAGCTGGAAAAGCAAAAGATGTGGCATTTATTTTGTCAATAGAAACATGATTTATTTTTCCAAGCATATGTACTATTGAGGGTGAAGGTTCGTTCTCCGAACTTGAAGTTTGGTTTCCGAACATTTCATTACCAGGCTAGGTAACATCTTCAGAGGTGTGGATCCTGTTTTTTAATTGACATGATGTTTCTCCCACATAGAAGTGGTTGCAATCGTTACAGTTGATTTTGTAAATTACGTTGTTTCTTTCATCCTTCTGTGTCTTGTGTTTGGTTCTGGATAATTCCTGGCAGAATGTGGCTGTGGGTTTGTGGGCTATCACTTTTCCTAGGGGTTGGAGAATTCTGGCTGTCATTTCTGACACCTTTTTTTGTATGGTAGGGTTCATTATTTCATGGCAATCGGCTATGTGGTGTATGGTAGTTTGGGTGCTGTGTGTTGGAATACGGAGTTTTTTGGATAGCCATTACAGAGAAAGACGTCAAACAGCCGTTTTTCTTCTGCTTTTCTTAGTGGTGTGGTGCTGCAGTGTGTCCTGGCCCTTCTGAAGAGGGTCAGGACACAGCTTCTTTTGTGTGTGATGGTGTGGTTGCTTGCGAAGTTGAGGATCTGGTCCATGTGCATAGGTTTGCGGTAGACGGTTCTCCATTGTCCAGTCTCCTTACGTCAATGTCAAGGAATGGGAGTCTGTTGTCTTTTTCCTCTTCACATGTAAATTTGATCCCAGGGAATATGTTGTTAAGTAGGTGATGTGTTTCTTCAATTTGGGAGTGTTTGATGATGACAGAGGTGTCATCGACATAACGTGTCCAGAATTTTGGTTGGATGGTGGGTAGAGCTATGGATTTGAGTCATTGCATGACTGCTTCTGCTATGAGGCCTGATATGGGAGATCCCATTGGGGTACTTGCTTGTACATTTTCCCATTGAACCTGAAGTATATGTTGAAGCATAGATCCAGGAGTTTCATGATGGTTTCTGTGGACATGGAGTGTTTTGTAATGGCATCCGCTTTGTGGGTATGGTGTTTGGTGAGTAGCTGGTGTATGATTTGTTTAGCCAGGTCAATGTCAATGTCAATCAAGGTGAAGAGGGCGGTGACAACGAAGGAGACCATAATTTCTTCCTTGTTGATCTTAGTGTGTTTGATGCATTGGATATATACTATTGCTGTGACATTATGTAGCTTTGGGGTTTTTTAGGTGAATGGTCTTAATATATCATTTGATACACACACACAGTCATTATATACTTAGTGTCTACAAATGTACTTAATATATATGAGAACTGTAATTCTCTGAATTTCTTAATTACATATGAATTAATTTGTTCCTGCATAATATTGGTCATAGATATTGACTAGATTAAATTTACCCTTTTAGGACAGACATCTCTGTCTTGTAAAGAAAAAACAAATTTTAATGTTTTTCTAATCATGTTTACTTAATAGCAATAGCACTTAGACTTATATAACACTTCACACGACTTTATAGCCCTTTCTAAGCAGTTTACAGAGTCAGCATATGCCCCCAACAATCTGTGTCCTCATTTTACTGGCCTTGGAAGGATAGAAGGCTGAGTCAATCTTGAGCCAGTCAGAATTGATGTGCTAGCAGTCAGCAGAATTAACCTGCAACACTGCATTCTAACCACTGCACCACTACGGCTCATATAGAAGTCTCATATTTAACATTTGCTAATTTAAGTAATTTGTGTTAATGTATGGAAAATATAATAAGGATTTACAGCTTTCTTATTGTGGCTACAAGGATTAAGCCCTACTCTTTTTATATAATTATACAGAATGTTGATGGTAATTATTACTGTCTTTTCTTACAGTCTTAAAGAGTATTCTTACCTATAATAAAGAATTTCCTTTTGATGTTCAGCCCGTTCCACCAAGGTATGGAAGAATTGCATGCAGAAAGAACCAGTGTCAGAAATTGCAAAATTTCCATTTTTTAAAGCATCAATAGTTTTTACCAATCACTGAATCCTATAGCTCTATATTAAAAGTTGAATTTCAAGTTTTATTTATATCTTTTGTAGAAGAAGTTAGAAGTCACTTTGTTTTTATACTGTTTTTCTATAATTTGTTTTCTGCACTCCTATCCTGTCTTTCTCTTTATTCTTTCTCTCTCTCTCTAGCCATCTTTCTGACTAATTATATTTGTTAGTTTTTGTCTTTATGTTCAATAAAAAATAAAGTTATATTAAAAATTGCATAATATAGGTTTGTGGAATGTAAAAATTCTGAAATTCAATTTTAAGCTTCTAATATTTGAATAGGAGGCCATAAATATTCCCAGTCTTAGATTAAGATATACTGGTGATTCCTATCTATCTCAGTTCTCAGTTGCAGTATGGTGTTTCTCTTTTTAAAAAGGAAAATCTTAGCACCTGGTGAAGAGGAAGATTTAGAATTTGAAGAAGATGAGGAGGAAGGTGGAGCTGGAGCAGGATCTCCAGATGCATTTCCTGCCAGAGTCCCAGGTAAGAGGCCAAATTGAGAATGAGAATGTTGGAATTACAGTTTTAGAAACAGAAAATGCAAGGACTGGAAGAGGCCTTAAAGGTAATCTAATCCAATCACTGACTGGAGCTGCAGCTACCTCCTACTGTTAGAATTTTTTTATCTGTTGTCCAATTAAAATCTATTTCTTGTACTTTAAATCCATTGTTTCTAGTTTTGTGTTCAGGAATAGTTTTGCCCCATCTTCTGCAGATATTTGAACGTAGCTGTTAAATCTCTATAAAGTCTTCTGTTTCCAGGTTAAAGATACCCAGCATCTTCAAATTGTTTCTTATACGTTTTTCTTTTCCAGGCCTCTGTTCATCTTGTTGTCTCTCCAACCATATGCAAGAGTTATTTGGGGGGAAAATCTGCAACTGTATATTTGTTAGCTAAACCTCTTTCTGAGTAAAGAGAAGCTCAGCATGCCACTGCTACCGTGTTTCCCCCAAAATAAGACCCAGACTTATTTATTTTTTTTGCCTCCAAAATAGATGCCAGGTCTTATTTTTTGGGGGGGGGTCTTTTCCACAGTCTCACCTTGCCGTGGCGGCACCGACAGCCCAGCCAGCCAGGCCACTTCTGCGGCTGAAAGAAATGCCTCTGCAGCTGAGAATGGAGCCCCATATTGACAGAGGATTGAATCTGTAACTCAGTTCTTGGCAGCAGAGGCCTTTCTGGAAGTGGACCAGCGAGGTGGTGTTGATTCATGGGAGGCCTGGCTGCAATGGTAAGCGGGTGCGGAGCGCATGGGGAAGCTCCACCCCCCACTCCTGCCCTAGCTTGATTTTTAGGCATCTACCTTGCCCCCAAACTATGGCTTATTTTTGGGATAGGGCTTATATTAGCCCCCCCCCCAAAATCAAGCTAGGGCTTATTTTGGGGGGAGGTCTTACTTTTGGGGAAACACGGTAGAATGCCTGTGTGCTAAGATTGTATGAGATGCCATTATCGTTATCTATTGTCCTTTATCATCTGGAGGTAAGGTGAAGGACAGAGAGCAAAGCAGAAATCATGGAGTTTTCTTAGAAAAACCTGCTTTATGAAAATCTATACTAATATTTTGTCAGCCCTAAAATTCAGATATGGTTTGAAGTTTACCATTTTACCAATGCGTAGTCTCTATGGAAATTGGTGCTTCATAATTATTATTAGCCAGTGATTAAATAAGTTTATTGATTATAGATCTTTACTGAGTATAAAAAATGAAAGGATATGATTTAAGCATGGCTAATGTGCATGGCTTCTCTGCAGGATACTGACAGGTGCAATGAATGCACCCTACACTCACTCCAAAGTACTTTTTCCTCTTTGGATCCAAATCTCTGATAATTTGGCTTAAGTGCCAAATTGATTGCAAGAAAGTTGATCAGGGCTACATGTTAGCATAGATAAGGCAAAAAAACATGGGTGATTTTTTTTTTTTAAGAGAGGGGCTCTGTATTCGTGAAAAGATGATCTTTCTTCTACAATTCCCCCACTTTACCCAAAAACATACTCCATGCAACAATCATGATTTAAAAATAGCCCCAGTTGTGCATTTTAATAATTTTATAAAAGCTCTGGAAAGGAAAAACTGCTATTTGCAATCAGTTGCTGATACAAAATAGAGGCTTGAAGTAAAAGCCTGATGTGGCCAGGAACTGCATATTTCTTTTGGTCACATGTGGCCACTAGCTGGAGATTTTCAAACTTGATTTAAAATCTTGGCGGGAGGGAGATGAAAGCACTAAAATTGGACCAATTTTGAACAACAGTAAATATTTTTTAGGAAGTGACATAGATCAATCCGACAGTGAAACAGCACTAGTGGAAGTCAACACCCTTGCAATTTGCTTTCCACTGACCAAATGTATTCTAGAGAATTGGTGAGATCTTTAAGATCTTATGAAGCTAAAAGAGGAAGAGTAGATAAACTTTATACTAGTTCTGTTGAAAGTCTTTTTATGTAATACTAGATTTAGCGCAATAATCCCTTTTATTACAATAGATGATAGTTAACTGTTTTCTACAGTATGTTCATTGCCATGTCTGAAATAGCTAAACTTCCAACACAAGCTTAAGTCCCAAGAAATCCTGTTTTGGGGATATATTCATATATTACCTGAGTAGACTTTGCCATGAACCCACACACATCATTCAGTTCTCCAGATAAGAATAATTGGGTACAATCCTGACATTTGGATGCCGACTAAAGTGGATAAATAGAATTTTCTAATGGTTGAAATACTATAGTGCTGAGATGATGCCATTTAAAAATGTGCAGATGAAGTTTGAAATAGCTTACACATATGATACTAGACTGTTTTGCTGACATTGTAACTTCCATTGTACGTCTATTTCTTTTCACGGATCCCATATTGCATTATTTTGCCGCCTAATCATTCATGGTCTTGTCTTATCTTCTACTTGCATGGCTCCATTGTGTAACCATGTGCTACATCATTCATCTAATCCAGGAGCCAATGAAGGTATGATAATGTTCTAATGTTAATAGTTGCTGTTATTAAGATAATCATATTGCTGTTGTTTTATTATTTAACATTGTAAATATGAAAACTCTTTTATGCTAAAATCTGCCATCTAGCTCTATTTTTCCCCAAATAAATGGTACATGATGAATGTCCATCCTATATGCACAGAATCAAATTGTATAGGTTTCTGAATTGCTTTTGATATGGAGAAAATCCATCTTTTAAAAAATCAGTTGGCATGTGTGGAGATTGTAGAAAGTTTTTTCTATCAGAAATATAAGTTTACTTTAATACACTATAATAGTTTATGCAGATTTCTACTCCTGTATGTGACATATTGTTCACTTCAAGAGTGAGCAGTGATGTTTTGGACTTTCATTCCAGTGCCCCAGCCATCATAACCAATGGCAATGGATTGTAGACTTATCATCTAGAAGACCAATTTTGGCTTTTATGTCTTATATTCCAGCAGTGATGCTACTAAAGAACCTGGGTTACATCATAAAAAAAAAAAATCAAATGTCCCCTTCAATAAAGAATGGGCACCGGAATTTTGCTGCATTTATTGTTTACAGTAAACTTTAAACATACTAAGTTTCAATGTCTTCACCTATGCCACAAGTCTAAAATATCTGGAAGGTAATTAAGTTGCTTATCTCTGGATCTTGGTGTGCTATAGACTTTGACTTTGACAATATTTCTGCATTTGGCTTTGATTTCTCCCCAAGTTAGTATTTAGCAAGTGGTTTTAGACTAATATTCAAAAAGAAAAGCCTTATGTCTAGTCTTGGTTCTATCCGAACTGTTAACTACTTGTCTTCTCATGAAGCATATGTTTCTGTGTTTATTTGCTCGTGCAATACAGTTGACAAATTATTTGTGCAGAGGATTTAATAGATGATAGTTCCTCAATTCTCTGCTTGTTGAACTATGAAAAGGATCCTACTTTTCCCAAGATGCTGTAATTTAAAATCAGGTCATATTAATAAATTATTCCAGATATTGTATCTTATGATGTTAGTATCAGCTATCATTTGTTGACAGAATTAATAGCAAGAGAGAATGAAAGTATGCTAAATGACTATTATTCTGTTCTGCTTTTTCCTCAGGTACTTTATTACCCAGATTACCATCTGAGCCCGGGATGACATTACTAACTATCAAAATAGAAAAAATTGGTCTTAAAGATGCTGGGCAGTGCATTGATCCCTATATCACAGTTAGTGTGAAAGGTAGGTATATTTTTCTTAATTGATTTGCCTAGGCATGTAATTTTGATCCTTTTTTATCCAATATTAGCTAGAATTGAATTGGCAAAATATACCACTATGTAATCAGCATTTAGAGTTTAAAATATTCACATTTGTCATATTGGATTTCTCTTTCGCCCCATGGAAACTCTTCAATATGCTGCTTTTCAGAACTGCCTTATCCTGATTCCTTGCAAGCCTTAACATATGAAAACTGTATTTTTTTAATTTTCTAATGAGTCACTTTGATTTAGCATGCAGAGTTCTTGAAATTTAATCTGCCATTTTCATATCAGCTAATTTAAAATAATTTTTTATGGATTAACTTCTGGTGGATAGTGAAAGGGTACAGTTAGTCCTCAATCTATTACCATGCAGTTAGTGTACATTCCTTATTATAGTGGTGCTGAATGAATGTTGGTTATGGTGAGTAGTTAAGAGTTTTGGCTGTCCCAGCACACCCACAGTCACGTGATCATGATCTGGATGCTTGACAACCCATTTGCATTTATGATCAGTTGCCAAGCACTATGCAATCATGTGATCACCATTGGCAATGTTCCCTACTGGCTTGCCCAGAAAGTCAAAGGGGAAGTTGCTGGGTAAGTGTCTCCCACCTGTGCACTCTCCCCTAGCCCTTCCGTGCATCTTCTCCCTCCCACTCAACACCCTTCAACAATTCCTCTACACTCATGCCAGAACCACACATCCTTCCCAACCACATGGCACTTCTTGCGCACCTTCCCCAATCTGCCTCTCATGCACTCAGCTTGCACCAAATCTCTTGTACACTTCTGCATGTCTCACACAGACTGTCCCCACACTTGCACTGCACCTCTATTGCACTCCTTAGCACTTTCCTCAACTTGTGTGGCACTTCTCACATACCCATTTGTACCCTGCCTGATTGGGCATCACCTCCCACACACCCCTCACACCCTCATGCACCCTTCTCAGTAGTGCTTCATTTCCTTCTCCACTTGGTAGCATCCACTTTTTTGTCTGCCAACCTTGTACCCTTTCCTGTCTGATTTTGTTTGTGGAAAGCTGGGAGGAAAGTGCCTCTCCTAATGACCATGGAATCTGGGACTTCAGAGATTGTCGTTACTAAGCATTGCCATTGCACTTTATAACCCACATTGCTTAATGTTGGAAATTCTGGTTTGAACTGCCATTGTAAGTCGAAGGCTATCTGTATTGAAAGGTTTCCATCATACTTTTTTCAAAAAGCCCTTGATAAGAAATTACTTTGTAGGCCACATTGCTTAGAACTGGAAATTCTAGTCCCAATTGACGTTGCAAGTTATGGACTATGTGTATTAAATGGTTTCCATCCACTCTTTCTTCAGAGAGCCTTGGTTAAAATTGGTGTTGCCCTAAGTCTTTTGTTTCTGTTCAATAAATGTTCCCCTAAACTGGACACACGGATCAACTTTCTATTAATACCTAATATGTCATCACTTTGGAAAGCATGTGTCACCTTTCTCAGAAAATGTGCACTGGGAAGGCCAAATAAGCAAGGTTACTTTACCATAACCACACCTCAGTATTGGTTACTCACGATTACCGCCATGTTTTTGGAAGTGACAGTCCTGTAAAAAATCTTGTGTAAAGATATTGTTTGAATGTTTACAAAAAGAAACAATCTTTTCCTTAGACTTTTAGATCATGAATTATAATGACCCTGGGGGAACAGATCAAAGTACTCCTTGTTCAATATACCAAATGTCACAACTGTTTTCCCCCTACTTAATGCTTAAATTTTATTCTTGGACAGATCTCAATGGGATAGATCTTACACCTGTGCAAGACACCCCTGTTGCTTCAAGAAAGGAGGACACTTACATTCATTTTAATGTGGACATTGAAATTCAGAAACATGTTGAAAAATTAACAAAAGGTTTGTTGCATGAAGGCTTGAAAATCATGTTGAACTATGATCAATAGAACAAGGTATAATTTAGATCAATAACTTGGAGAGGAGCAGATATGCTGTCCCCAGAAAAATTAGTTACCCCATAGTGCCTTAACCAAACTACTCAAAAAATTTTTAAAGATGTTATTTATGATTTAGGATGGGAGCAGATCAAATGATAGTGGCTTCAAACTTCTTAGGTTGATTCTTTGCAAAGGTACAGAATCTTCAATGAGGATTGTTTTTCCTCAAGGTAGTTCTAACAACTTTGTATTAACTATGTTAGCCTATAAAGAAGTACAGTGATGTAATTTGAAAAGTGTTTCAGATTTTTTTTTTCTCTTCTGCCTTTCAGGTGCAGCTATTTTCTTTGAATTTAAACACTATAAACCCAAGAAAAGGTTCACCAGCACAAAGTGCTTTGCCTTTATGGAGATGGATGAAATTAAAGCTGGACCAATTGTTATAGAACTGTAAGTAAGTGTGTGCATCAACCACAACAAACAATGCAATCCAGAATTTCTGCTAAACTCTTTCAGTTCAGTCAGAAGCAAAATCTGGAACGTTTTGGTGGTCCCGGGCTTTGGTGCAAAACAAATAGGGATGATTTTATGGTGCAAGTATGATAGAATGAGTATGCATCATCTTCTCTGATCATCAGTAGTGCATGGGTCCATCCACCTGCCTTCAATCTTCTCCATATCTTCTCTCTCCACTCCAGCTGCTGCTATCTACATGTGCCATTGCCAAGAAAATCCCTTACATACTGTTGTATTTCCCCAGAGCTGTGTATTTCAGTTCATATTCAGAACAAAACATTTCTGTTTTATTCCATGTACAGCCAAAATTTGAGTTTTAGTTGAGACATGGACTGCCCAAAAACAAAAATTCCATGCATATCTCTAAATGTAAGTAAAATTTTGCATAAAATAGGCATCCATATCTGCAATTATATAAATTATGGTTGAAAGTTATGCTTGGAAATAATGCACTTCATTAATTTTCTTCCTGAGTACGAAGAGAAATGCTAAGTTTCCACAATGTTTGATTTGTATGTTATTTTATGATGGCTGAGGAATACCTTAGCTTTGAACCCAAATAAAAGTGTGCATGTTTAAAAGATCTGAAGGGTCCCCCCCCCCAAAATGTAATATTCAGAATAGATATATTAGAGTAGGTGTTTGTGATTCTGAAACCACTTTAACTACTTTGGCTTAATTTAGAAGAAAACCAGTAGAGAGAAAAGTGAAAGAATGATTAAATGATTATCTCAATAATTAATCTAGAATAAATTCTGAGACAGTTTTATATCAAACAAGTACCACTGAATTTAAATGGGACAATTATTGTGGAGGTAGAAATTAGAATTAAGAGTTGTAGCTATTTGTTTAACTTGGCTTTTCAAATTGTACAAAATCCCTTTAAGTAAGAAAAGAATAATCTGGGGTAAGTTCCTAAACAGCACTAAGATCAATTCTGATATCTACTCTTTTTATCATTATAGGTACAAAAAACCCACTGATTTTAAGAGGAAGAAACTTCAGTTGTTGACCAAGAAGCCACTTTATCTTCACCTTCATCAAACACTGCACAAAGAGTGACTTTTGTGAACTGAACCACTTGCCATAAATTCATAGTAGCTGCATATGTAGCACTTGTCTTTCAGGAGAAGGAAGAATGGATGCATTTACCTTGTGGTCACAAATGACCCTCAGTGCTGCACAGCAGTGGGTCAAGTAGCCACACTCTGCATCCAAGCCCAGTTTCTTTGGAATGTATATTTTTAATTCAGATGTTCCAAAGTGTGTTGCAAGTTTTTCATAAATGGGCCGGTTATTAAGTTCAGTTCTGTAACTTGATTTCTACAGTTATATCAGAACCCTTAATTAAAGCAGTTGAGGAATCCCCGTCTGCCAAACCCGATACAGCAATAAAGATATGCCAGTATCAAAAAACTTTTACACTTCTACTGTATTTTGTTTGTATCATTTTCATAAGTGCATTACATTTGTAAAGAACTATTACCATCTGAGTTTACTTATATAAAATATCTTGGTGAAAAGACACTCCCACCCTCCACGTTGCATCCGTTTTTGTTTTTGTTTTTTTAAAAAAACATATTTTTCTCAAGATTGGGAACTACCTGTTATAAAACTACCAGTTATGGTTGTTCTGAAAGTTAGTAAATGCATTACAGTTGGTCCTCAGCTTACAACGGCAATTGGGGCCGGAACTGCCATTGCTAAATGACTTGGTCGTATAGTTGTGCAATGTTACATTACTATATTGCTTAACAATGGCAATCCAAGTCGTCCTGGTTGTTGTCATTAAAGGGACGACCTCATGTGATCTTGACTTCCAACTTCCTGCCAGCTTTCCCACTGACTTTGCTTGTGGGAAGCCAGCAGGAACATAAGAAATTATGACCACGTGACCCTGGCTCACTGTAACATCATAATTGTGAGCCAGGAACCTGGATCACAGTCATGTGACCAGGGGGGCATTGCAATGACCAGAACTCCAAAGGTTCATCATATAGTAAGTGCCATTCATTCACTCAGTTCCATCATAACTTAGAACAGTAGTTGAATGAATGGTCATAACCCAAGGACTACCTGTACGCTTGTTCCAGATAATTTCAACAGCTATAGAATTTTACTATTGGGAACAGGCTGCAACTAATGGTTTAATTTTTTTTTAAGACAAACTGGGTGATTATAAAAAAAAATGAATCCATCCTAAATTGCTCTAAGAAAAAAGCTGAACACTGCTTCCAGTTTCTACGTTTACACTACATTATGTGCCTAAAGATGCTATCTACATAAGGGGGATGTACAAATGTCATGAATTATGCATATTACTTCTGGATATTAATATCTAATATGTCACCATTTTAAGGCTGTATCTTTCATGGTTATAATTAACTCTACATGTACTGGAATGTAGGAGACGGATGATTCGTAACTGTAAGATATCATTTACTACAAACCAATGTTTCCCAACATTGGCAAGATTAATAAGCGTAGACTTCAACTCCCAGAATTCCTGAGTCAGCATGCTTAGTAGCAATATTGGGAAGTTTAAGATACCCACAAATCTTAAACTTGCTGAAGTTGGAAACGCTGATTTAAACCACCAATTTCAAATTTCTGTTCCATGCAAGAATCCAAATTAAGGCATCCATAAATGACTATACTGCTGCTATTTGAACTTATCATGGCAGTATCTGGTTCTTCCATCAGACAGCTCTATTTGATTTTTTTTTAACATTCACCAGAAATGTATTCCCATAAGTTAAATCCATTACTTTACAAAGTTTACAAACGCCACTCTAGAATATAGAAGCGGACGATGTACTGCCATCACATCTCCTTTGTTTTCATAAAGCTAAACTTTCCCAAAATGAAATCGATTCCAAATTCTTTTCCAGAGTATTGATACTAGCTAAGTGTCCTCCATCCTAACCTCTCCATCTAACTGCTTTTTCTATTGGGTCTCTACTTTTTGGTTATTTTCATTTCTTTATCAGGATCATTTTGAATTTTTTCTATAGTCATAGCTATTCCATCCAAATTTATATTGTGTGCAAATGAGATGGCGGACTCTCATCCTGTTCTCATCCAAGTAATTGATAACATGTTTAAGAGTAAAGACCCTGAGACTGAACCTTGCAAACAGGATAACTGTATCTACAAAATGTCCATATCATATTAAGGAAGTGAGATTTTTTTAAAAAAATGATCTGGTCAGTAATCTGCTGACATTTTTTTCAAGGCAATAACATGTTAATCACTTTTTAAAATCAGCTATATAGCTTTACTGGGTAGAAATGGCAGATTAATTACCCTGTACTTTAGTTCCAAGGGCATTTGCCCTCCCTCGGCTGTGACCTTCACATGTTCTCAGTATTTCTCAAATACATGATAATTTGGCCAAACTGTCCGCAAGTTCCTTCAGTATTCTAAAATGCAATCTGGACAGATATCAACATTCAAATACCATTTTTCTTTATCTCAGGCTTCCACTATGTCCCTTCAACCTACTTTTGCATTTGCTTTGTGTAGCTTGTTCTTGAGGAAGAATGAGCCAAAATAAAAATTGGCAATAGCACCTTTGTATTAGGTCATCTTCATTGACCAAGTGAATCTTTATGTTTAATCTTTCTGAAGAAGCCATTTGCCGCTGTTTTTAGTATCCTTTCAAACAACGTCAGTTCATGTTGCATGTTACTTTCTTAATACTAACTACAGTTCCAGGCTACTTAATACGTATTCCTCATTGTGACCTCTCTGACAAACTTTTTTGCAGCAGCACTGGCTTTTTTTGTTCATTTTTATTTTCATCTTGTTGGATTTCTTTGGAACTGTGTTGTTACTACTAACTTCTTAGGAACTTTTTATGATCAGCTAAATAGCAAATGATTTAATAGTACTACAAGGAAACTAAGTAAACATGGGACATGTCTTTGATGAAAAAGAATGAAAATGTCTTACACAATGATGCATGTTGGATCACTATTCTAAAAATATGATACATTTGGACTGTTAAAACAGCCTTGGATACAGTCCCTCACTAAAGACTCCTTTGCAAACTCAGAAACCATTGAAGAAAAAGAAGGGCGCTTGCGTAGATTGGCAACTGTTAAAAACAGACAGTGAGCAGAAATGGGCAATTCTTGCATTGGTGAGATGTTCAAAGTAAGTTCCCCAGAAAAATGGTTCTGGAATCATTAATTTGTATAGAAAAACTATATTTTTAATAATTTTATTAAGTTTATCAAGATATAAAATAAAAAAATTAAAATGGGAAAATGCAGGAGGAAAAAGAAGAGAAAAAAATGTAGGGGAAAGGGGAAAAAAGAAAAACATTGAATTCTGACTCCTTTTAACGCAGTAGAATAAGATAGCAACATTATAGCCTTGACATTTTATTTTTACTTACTAATATGTACTAGCCATTTCTATAACAACACGTTATAATCAGCAAAACCCAATGTCAAGCAGTAAAAACAAATTTGATGCCAGGGCAACGCAAGGATCAACATTAAGAGAAAAAATGATGTTCACATAAATGATTACTAAATTCTCTGTGACAGCTGATACAATATCAAATTTACTCTGATGACATGGGGATTATAGAATAATTACTATCTTATTATTCTGGGGATAGAATAATGAATAAATGTACAAAAACCACCTTTCCCTCAATCATATTGCACATGCAAGTATTGAGAGAATTCCATATAACATCAATTAAGAATTTTTGAGGCTATTTTTACTGGAATCATCACTTTTACCTTGAAAGGAGAAGGAATTTTTTGTGATCCAAAACAAAATGTTAAGTATGACACAGAGATTAAATTAGACAGAGGAACAGAAATCTGCTCAATGTCATCAAGGCCAATTTTAAGCAAACATTCTCTGAAAAGGGAGGGAACTGAATGTCAAAATCCTGGTGAGGATGAGAGACTAGCTCCTTTATTGCCCTCCCTAAACTAGCAAGGAAACAAATTACAAACTGGAAACACTAAAAAAAACCTCCTTATTACCAATCTTATATCATTGATCTCACTGAGATTAAGTCCAAAGAAATCAGGTTTGGCATAAACAAATCCTCTGTTCACGATGACAGGAAAAAGAATAATTTACCGCTTTAGTTTAGGTCGAGCTTGCAGGAAAGAATAATATATCAGAAGGGGATCTAGAGCTAGAAGTCCCTTCTTCTTCTTCTGAGATCATGGGAATGGCAGTCTTTTGGGGCAATTACAAGAGAGATTTAACCACTTTGTCAACTGCTTGCAAATACCGAGTCTATCCTGAACTGATCCAAAGGGATTTAGTCTGGGATAGACCAGCAAGGGATGGCATACTGGAGTATCAAGAGAAACCTGGCTGGCACTAGTAATGAAGGCTGCCAAAGAAGGACCAGGAGCCAATAAAACATATAGATTTCAAAGGCTTCCTCTGAAATTAGGGAGCCCCCACCCAGACAAATTATTGGATATATCAATTTCATATCAAATGAAATACTCTCCACAAGAATATAATATTGTAACAAGGGCCAGCTGATGCTAAGAAGAAAAATCATTACTAGGAAAAGAGGCAGATCATTTGCAGATTACAGGAAACTATTACTTTTATTTTACTGTCTTTCCGTGCTATCCTAGAATGCTGTCAGATGAAAAGCTATGTTAAGAGATCCAGATCTTACAAGATTTATATCTAATTTTGACTTTATCTTTTTGATAGGAGTTCTCACACTTCATGGAGATTACTCAACTTCGCTGAGTGAATATAGATGCTTTGCCAGGAAGTTGATCAAGTTTGAGGTTGGCCATCTTATTCTTTTTTGCTGATACACGTTTACCTAACTTCACTAAGAGTAATCTATTTATGTGGTCAATGAGAATTGACAATGCCTTTATAGCACAATGATTTGACAGAGATTGACTCAATCACTGTTCTGTTGAGTTCTTATCAAAACAAAGGATAAACTCTCAAAGCAAACTAATGTGGTAAAGCTTAGAAAATTATATGGTGAAGTGATAACCAATCATCCTCAATCTTAGGTTATTCTAAGACAGCGGTTCTCAACCTGTGGGTCGGGACCCCATTTGGGGTCGAACGACCATTTCACGGGGGTCGCCAAACAACGCAGTCCGCCATTTTTTCCCCTTTTCCTTAGCTGTGCTACTCCCTTTTATTCTATTGGCTTTTGAAAGCCAATAGAATAGACTCTCTTGAATAGAGTCTAATTCTATTGGCTTTCAAAAGCCAATAGGAGTTGTCCAGGCTGTCTCTGCCCTGCTGAGCCCGCCAAAAGCCCCAGTCTGCAAACGGTGCTGCAAGTTGTCTGCAGCGAAGGCGAGCTGTCTGGAAGTTTCCACCCCTCCCTGCTGAGCAACTACTAAAAATGTAAATAAAAGAGGGCCAGGGGTGGGAGGTGGGAGGCCAGCGGGT